AATCTGTAGCCAACATTACAGACACAACCACTCACCAGTACACGAGCGTCTGTCCGGGACCAGTCTGTAGCCAACATTACAGACACAACCACTCACCTATACACGAGCGTCTGTCCGGCCCCAGTCTATAGCCAACATCACAGACACAACCACTCACCTGTACACGAGCGTCTGTCCGGGACCAGTCTGTAGCCAACATTACAGACACAACCACTCACCTATACACGAGCGTCTGTCCGGGCCCAGTCTGTAGCCAACATCACAGACACAACCACCCACCTGAACACGAGCGTCTGTCCGGCCCGTCTGTAGCCAACATTACAGACACAACCACCCACCTATACACGAGCGTCTGTAGCCATCATCAAAGACACAACCACCCACCTATACACGAGCGTTTGTCCGGCCCCAGTCTATAGCCAACATTACAGACACAACCACCCACCTATACACGAGCGTCTGTAGCCATCATCAAAGACACAACCACTCCACCTATACACGAGCGTCTGTCCGGCCCCAGTCTATAGCCAACATTACAGACACAACCACCCACCTATACACGACCGTCTGTCCGGGCCCAATCTGTAGCCAACATTAGACACAACCACCCACCTATACACGAGCGTCTGTAGCCAACATTAGACACAACCACCTACCTATACACGAGCGTCTGTCTGGCCCCAGTCTCTAGCTAACATTACAGACACAACCACTCACCTATACACGAGCGTCTGTCCGGGCCCAGTCTGTAGCCAACATCAAAGACACAACCACTCACCTATACAAGAGCGTCTGTCCGGCCCCAGTCTGTAGCCAACATTACAGACACAACCACCCACCTATACACGAGCGTCTGTAGCCATCATCAAAGACACAACCACCCACCTATTCACGAGCGTCTGTCTGGCCCCAGTCTATAGCCAACATTACAGACACAACCACCCACCTATACACGAGCGTCTGTAGCCATCATCAAAGACACAACCACCCACCTATACACGAGCGTCTGTCTGGCCCCAGTCTATAGCCAACATTACAGACACAACCACCCACCTATACACGAGCGTCTGTCCGGCCCGTCTGTAGCCAACATTACAGACACAACCACTCACCTATACACGAGCGTCTGTCCGGCCCGTCTGTAGCCAACATTACAGACACAACCACCCACCTATACACGAGCGTCTGTCAGGCCCCAGTCTTTAGCCAACATTACAGACACAACAACCCACCTATACACGAGCGTCTGTCCGGGCCCAGTCTGTAGCCAACATTACAGACACAACCACCCACCTATACACGAGCGTCTGTCCGGGCCCAGTCTGTAGCCAACATCACAGACACAACCACCCACCTATATACGAGCGTCTGTCCGGGCCCGGTCTGTAGCCAACATTACAGACACAACCACCCACCTATACACGAGCGTCTGTCCGGCCCGTCTGTAGCCAACATTACAGACACAACCACCCACCTATACACGAGCGTCTGTGCGGCCCCAGTCTGTAGCCAACATTACAGACACAACCTACCACCTATACACGAGCGTCTGTCCGGGCCCAGTCTGTAGCCAACATTACAGACACAACCACCCACCTATACACGAGCGTCTGTCCGGCTCGTCTGTAGCCAACATTACAGACACAACCACTCACCTATACACGAGCGTCTGTCCGGGCCCAATCTGTAGCCAACATTACAGACACAACCACTCACCAGTACACGAGCGTCTGTCCGGGACCAGTCTGTAGCCAACATTACAGACACAACCACTCACTCCACTATACACGAGCGTCTGTCCGGCCCCAGTCTATAGCCAACATTACAGACACAACCACTCACCTGTACACGAGCGTCTGTCCGGGACCAGTCTGTAGCCAACATTACAGACACAACCACTCACCTATACACGAGCGTCTGTCCGGCCCCAGTCTATAGCCAACATCACAGACACAACCACTCACCTGTACACGAGCGTCTGTCCGGGACCAGTCTGTAGCCAACATTACAGACACAACCACTCACCTATACACGAGCGTCTGTCCGGCCCGTCTGTAGCCAACATTACAGACACAACCACCCACCTATACACGAGCGTCTGTCCGGCCCGTCTGTAGCCAACATTACAGACACAACCACCCACCTATACACGAGCGTCTGTCCGGGCCCAGTCTGTAGCCAACATTACAGACACAACCACCCACCTATACACGAGCGTCTGTCCGGCCCCAGTCTTTAGCCAACATTACAGACACAACCACCCACCTATACACGAGCGTCTGTCCGGGCCCAGTCTGTAGCCAACATTACAGACACAACCACCCACCTATACACGAGCGTCTGTCCGGGCCCAGTCTGTAGCCAACATCACAGACACAACCACCACCTACCTATACACGAGCGTCTGTCCGGCCCCAGTCTGTAGCCAACATTACAGACACAACCACCCACCTATACACGAGCGTCTGTCCGGCCCCAGTGTAGCCAACATTACAGACACAACCACCCACCTATACACGAGCGTCTGTCCGGCCCCAGTCTGTAGCCAACATTACAGACACAACCACTCACCTATACACGAGCGTCTGTCCGGGCCCCAGTCTGTAGCCAACATTACAGACACAACCACCCACCTATACACGAGCGAGCGTCTGTCCGGCCCAGTCTGTAGCCAACATTACAGACACAACCACTCACCTATACACGAGCGTCTGTCCGGCCCCAGTCTGTAGCCAACATTACAGACACAACCACTCACCTATACACGAGCGTCTGTCCGGGACCAGTCTGTAGCCAACATTACAGACACAACCACTCACCTATACACGAGCGTCTGTCCGGGCCCAGTCTGTAGCCAACATCACAGACACAACCACCCACCTATACACGAGCGTCTGTCCGGGCCCAGTCTGTAGCCAACATTACAGACACAACCACCCACCTATACACGAGCGTCTGTCCGGGCCCCAGTCTGTAGCCAACATCACAGACACACAACCACCCACCTATACACGAGCGTCTGTCCGGCCCCAGTCTGTAGCCAACATTACAGACACAACCACCCACCTATACACGAGCGTCTGTCCGGCCCAATCTGTAGCCAACATTACAGACACAACCACCCACCTATACACGAGCGTCTGTCGGGCCCAGTCTGTAGCCAACATTACACAGACACAACCACCCACCTATACACGAGCGTCTGTCCGGCCCAGTCTGTAGCCAACATTACAGACACAACCACTCACCTATACACGAGCGTCTGTCCGGGCCCAGTCTATAGCCAACATCACAGACACAACCACTCACCTATACACGAGCGTCTGTCCGGCCCCAGTCTGTAGCCAACATTACAGACACAACCACTCACCTATACACGAGCGTCTGTCCGGGCCCAGTCTGTAGCCAACATCACAGACACAACCACCCACCTATACACGAGCGTCTGTCCGGCCCCAGTCTGTAGCCAACATTACAGACACAACCACCCACCTATACACGAGCGTCTGTAGCCATCATCAAAGACACAACCACTCACCTATACACGAGCGTCTGTCCGGCCCCAGTCTATAGCCAACATTACAGACACAACCACCCACCTATACACGAGCGTCTGTAGCCATCATCAAAGACACAACCACTCCACCTATACACGAGCGTCTGTCCGGCCCCAGTCTATAGCCAACATTACAGACACAACCACCCACCTATACACGAGAGCGTCTGTCCGGGCCCAATCTGTAGCCAACATTAGACACAACCACCCACCTATACACGAGCGTCTGTCAGCCCCAGTCAAACCACCTACACCTATACACGAGCGTCTGTCCACCCCCAGTCTCTAGCCAACATTACAGACACAGCGTCTGTCGTCTGTCCGGGCCAGTCTGTAGCCAACATTAAAGACACAACCACTCCACCTATACACGAGCGTCTGTCCGGCCCCAGTCTGTAGCCAACATTACAGACACAACCACCCACCTATACACGAGCGTCTGTAGCCATCATCAAAGACACAACCACTCACCTATACACGAGCGTCTGTCCGGTCCCAGTCTGTAGCCAACATTACAGACACAACCACCCACCTATACACGAGCGTCTGTCAGGCCCCAGTCTTTAGCCAACATTACAGACACAACCACCCACCTATACACGAGCGTCTGTCCGGCCCCAGTCTGTAGCCAACATTACAGACACAACCACCCACCTATACACGAGCGTCTGTCTGTCCGGCCCGTCTGTAGCCAACATTACAGACACAACCACCCACCTATACACGAGCGTCTGTCCGGCCCCGTCTGTAGCCAACATTACAGACACAACCACCCACCTATACACGAGCGTCTGTCCGGCCCCAGTCTGTAGCCAACATTACAGACACAACCACCCACCTATACACGAGCGTCTGTCCGGCCCGTCTGTAGCCAACATTACAGACACAACCACCCACCTGTACACGAGCGTCTGTCCGGCCAGTCTGTAGCCAACATTACAGACACAACCACCCGCCTACAGACGAGCGTCTGTCCGGGCCCAGTCTGTAGCCAACATCACAGACACAACCACCCACCTGTACACGAGCGTCTGTCCGGCCCCAGTCTGTAGCCAACATCACAGACACAACCACCCACCTATACACGAGCGTCTGTCCGGCCCCAGTCTATAGCCAACATCACAGACACAACCACTCACCTATACACGAGCGTCTGTCCGGCCCCAGTCTATAGCCAACATCACAGACACAACCTCTCACCTATACACGAGCGTCTGTCCGGCCCCAGTCTGTAGCCAACATCAAAGACACAACCACCCACCTATACACGAGCGTCTGTCCGGCCCCAGTCTATAGCCAACATCACAGACACAACCACTCACCTACACACGAGCGTCTGTCCGGGCCCAGTCTATAGCCAACATTACAGACACAACCACCCACCTATACACGAGCGTCTGTCCGGCCCCAGTCTATAGCCAACATTACAGACACAACCACCCACCTATATACGAGCGCATGTCCGGCCCCAGTCTATAGCCAACATTAAACACAACACCCACCTATACACGAGCGTCTGTCCGGCCCCAGTCTGTAGCCAACATCACAGACACATTCGTACATGCCGTCCGAGTTTGAACAAGTGTGTTGGCAGCCGCCATTCCGCACCTCACACTCATCCACATCTGAAAAGAACAGTACGACAGTTTTCAACACAACCCTTCGAACTGAAACTGGTGAATATTCCTAGTGTGTGTGTTGCGTTCAGCTGGGCAGTGTTTCAGTTGAATGTAGAGGGGTGCAGATCAGAGACCTGTACATACACGGTATCATGCCGACAAGCCAGGGATCATCAGACAGTCAAATCTGGAAGATGAACCCAAGAACGTGGACGCTTTGTACGACTAAGGGACGTTACCCTTCATACCGAATTGTGATCAGTCGACTGAGCGGGTACCTCGTTGTCGAGAAGACCGCTGTTGAGACGGACCGTCGACAACACGGACCAGACATTTTCGTTTTTCGTCGTCTAAACGGACCAGGAACGTAGGTTAAATATCCCAGTTGAAAGAGTCTCGATTGTCCAAAGAAATCATGTTTAACGTACTGTTTGACAATGTAATGGTCTTTCTTTAACATCCCTTACAGTAATTGTGGAGAAAGTGAGTTCAGGGATAACCTGGGCTTCACTGCATTTTAAAATATGTTAGTGAGTGAGTATCCATCTGGGGAATCGAACCCGGGTCTTCGGCGTGACGAGCGAACGCTTTAACCACTTGGCTACCCCCTCCGCCCCGTTTTAAAAATGTTAAATACTCCTGTCGACACCGACATGTACATGTCTGCTGGTTGTATAGTATATTGACTTTGTGACACAACAGAGTCACCTGTACATGTCTGCTGGTTGTATAGTAAATTGTCTTTGTGACACAACATAGTCACCTGTACATGTCTGCTGGTTGTATAGTAAAGTGTCTTTGTGACACAACATAGTCACCTGTACATGTCTGCTGGTTGTATAGTAAATTGTCTTTGTGACACAACAGAGTCACCTGTACATGTCTGCTGGTTGTATAGTATATTGTTTTTGTGACACAACATAGTCACCTGTACATGTCTGCTGGTTGTATAGTATATTGTCATTGTGACACAACATAGTCACCTGTACATGTCTGCTGGTTGTATAGTATATTGTCTTTGTGACACAACATAGTCACCTGAACATGTCTTGTTGTCGGAGATGAGCAGCTCGTATCCGGTGTTGCACGAGCAGTGATATCCTTGTATTGTGTTCACGCAGATCTGTGAGCAACCATGGTCGAACGTAACACATTCATTCACATCTGGAGCGTAAATACGAAGACCACATGAAATAGACATACATTTATATACCTGGTTCATTCCATTTATCAAAGTCTGGTAAGGTCGTTAAATGCACCCGGAGAGAGTGAATTAGTCTGACGCTGGTTTTTTGGCAATATTTCAGCAATAGGAATCAAACCCAGGGTTTTTTTACAACTAAGCCCACCTTTGGGTTGTACAGTACGCGTGTGCTTGGCTAGGGTCAAGTATTATGTTTACCAACAGGTGACCCAGTGGTCTGCCCATGTGATAACACATGGTGATAGAATCACGCCAGTCCCCAGTTGTGTCCCCCAGAAGCAATGAGTGAGTTGAGTTTTACGCCGCCTTTAGCAATATCCAGCAACATCGCGGCGAGGGGCACCAGAAATGGGCTTCACACATTGTACCCACGTGGGTGAATCGAACCCGGGTCATCGGCGTGACGAGCGAACGCTTTAACCACCGGTATCCCACCATTATTAAACAGTATTTCCTTTTTGAGATACATATGTTTTCACATGTTAACAGAATCTCCAGGTAACTTAAACTCACCTGTGAATACTGGTCCTTGAGGGCCTGTCATGCCCACCTCACCCCTTGGACCCGTCTCTCCTCTATGTCCCACCGATCCTGCAGCACCAGTCTGCCCTGCCGCTCCCGTCACCCCTGTTGCACCCATGTAGCCGACTGGCCCTGTATCCCCCTTCACTCCCTGGGGGCCTGGCTCTCCCTTCTCCCCCGTCGCCCCAAGATCCCCCTTGTCTCCGTTATCACCGGGATCTCCTTTCGGGCCTCGTGGGCCTGGGAATATACAAACGGAGCGGTCGCAACAGTTCCAATAGTATACTTCAGCGGGAGATAAACGGGGTCCTACGTTTCCCAGATCACAGTTTTACACGTCGGCGAAACCAGCGAGCATGGGTTTGGAGCTGACAGATCAATGATTATAATCGGTGTGATTTATAATTTTTTCCATATGCGGATCCTGGGTGGAATAGGGGAGGCAACCTCGGACAAAAAGGTATGGTATGGATTTACATCCTTCTTTATAATTTACAACACGACGTTTCTGGGCTACTTCTTGCCCCTCTTCAGGTGAATGACAGAATATGATCTACTAGCAAAATATATATACATCTCAATACATCTCAGTATTTAATCCCATCTCACCGGCCTCCTGTACGCGTTGTATATGTTGCTTGTAAATCATATTCTGTCATTGACCCGATGAAAGGGAAGAAGTTGCCAAGAAACATCGTGTTGTAAATAATATAGAAGATGTAACTCCATACCATACCTTGTTATGTTACCATCCAAATGCCCATCAAGCATCTATCCTCGGACATAACATTCCGATGAGTGGACAACCGATCCTCTAAATAATAACATGTATCAAAGGGTATAACATACACCACATATCACATGGTAGTACTTTGTCCTGATTATATATCCCACATCATAGTGTAAACATGTGACTGGTGTTTGTTGGTGTTCAACAATAAAATAGCTGTGTCAGCTTATATCCTACAAGGGTTAATCAATACCATAGCGGCCATGACCAAGTGCTGTGGAGTTTACCGGGATCTCCTTTCAATCCTCGACTTCCTTGCTGTCCAATAGGTCCAGTTACCCCTTCCGGCCCAGGAGGACCAGCCACACCCGTGGCCCCAATGTCTCCCTGGGGGCCAGTATCTCCCTGGGGCCCTGCTGCGCCTGTTGTACCGATCTCGCCTCGGGTTCCAGTCGGGCCGATGACACCCTACAAAACAAGTAACCAACACTTTTGACACTACTGACCCGTGAAGATCCGGGTTAGAATTGGTCTTCAGTAACACATGCTTGTGTTAAAAGGCGACTAACGGGATGGTTGGTCAGTCTCGCGGACTTGGTTGGCACATGTCGTCGTATTCCAGTTGCGTAGATCGATGCTCATGCTGTTGACCACTGGATTGTCTGGTCCAGACTCGATTTACAGACCGATGCTATATAGCTGGAATATTGCTGAGTGAGGCGTAAAACTAATTTAAAACTAATTCAGTTTGATACGACTTCAATTGTTCCAATGCGACTACGGTTTATCTGAGGGATGTGTTACGGTACAGTTGTGAAAAAACAAGTCACCTTTACAATCGACTTTTTAAGAGTGTCTGAAATCATGAGCAAGTGGGGTCACAGAAATTGACCACTCGATCTATGTCTGTTGACCGTTCCGATCAGATTGGCTAACAGAAGTGCCCACCGACGAACATATCTTTGGTTTAATAAAAATGTTCAGTGTGTTATATTGATATGAAATAAAACAATCGTAATGAAAACACAAATGTAATCACAAATGCTGAGTATACATATTAATTCATTACACATCCTTCTTTGGTCTGATAGTGAGTGAGTTGGGGTTTTCGCCGCTTTCAGCAATATTCCAGCAATATCACGGCGGGGGGACACCTCAAATTGGGTTCACACATTGTGCCCATGTGGGGAATCGAACCCGGGCCTTCAGCGTGACGAGCAAACGCTTTAACTACTAGGCTACCCCACCGATCCTGGTCTGATATATACAATCGTTTCTTGAAAATATAAAGAAGCAAAATATTACAGCTATTTATATATGATTCTATACACGTGTTATTCAGTTGCTCTTACCGCTGCACCTATCTCCCCCTTCACGCCTTTCTCACCCCTCGGGCCAGAGACTCCCCTGGGTCCAGTCTGTCCCATTGGTCCTGTGGCTCCCGTCATTCCCTCCACAATGGTGATGTTTCCCGCGAGCTTGGTGGAACCGGCGGAATCAACTGGGTGCAGAAAATATTGAAAGATTTTCGCCCGTAGCCCCCGGTTTTTTTATCATTCTTTGCCTAAGAATAGATGTTTTTTTGTCATAAAAAGCTTAACCTTTAACCTAACCCTTAACTTAAACCTAACCCTTAGCCTAAGCAATAACCCCTCGAAATAATCCTAATAAATAGAATACATTTCAAGCGGGGATTACGGGCGGAACTCTTACCGAAAAGATTGAAACATATTTTCATTTTGGTAAAATATGGAATTATACACAAAATTACAATTCGACGTCTTAATACACAATGTAAATTTAACAAAAGGAAATTGTTTACTTTTCAGGGGTCACCTTTTCACATGTTATATAACTTGTAGCCCAAAATATGCCAATTTCGTTTAACCAGGAGATTTACACTATCTTTGGTCTTACTGTAGATCTGTGTTAAGTGTTGATCAGACAGTGCTATTCTATTAGAATTTGGGCCCGAACGCACAAATGTTTCAGTTTCTACACAAAGCGCCGTAAAATCCGCAGGAAAATCAGTCATCTTTAGACACAACGATGGCCCACCTGTTCCGATGAGAACTGCAGCTGTGATCAGTGATATCCAAATCATTGTAGAAGGTCTAGAAAGTTAAACATAGATTATATATACGTGTGCAATTATCTCTAATTTCATTTTTACTTCAGCATTACCACATCCATTTATTGTTTCTCCATGACAACCTGGACAGAAAGTATGAGTGAGAGACTGTTGTTTCCAGCCGCAGTCAACCACACCCCTGTGAGGACTTCACCTGGTCTTGTACCAGCAATACGTTTATTTCTGCTTAATCAGTGCAGTCCTGAGATTCACTCGATCTCGATCAAGAGAATCAAGCAGAACACATTTGGCATTCATGGCCTGAATTCTTAAATGACGAATGTTAAAGAAACGATTACTTCCCTCAAGTAATTCGGTATTGTTCGGGGGGTTTCATTGTTTTCAACAATGAGAATTATGTTCAACTATGCGCTAATAATCGACAGCTGGAGTGCTGCATCAAAGGTTACTTTCTTGTGAAAATATCAGTGAAAAATCACGTCAGTCACTCACCCTCGTCTGATACCTGGCCACAGGAAAACACACAACAGGCATGCGCAGACACAGCACGGAAATCTCGTGCAAGCAATTGACAACAATGGTGCAACATCTGGGACACTGTCTAAATTTTATATTTCCCCCCCTGGAAAATGCGTATAACATGCAATATACATTTATCTATTTCAGGAAGAAATCTACCCCTAAATCTGCTTTGTGTTATTTTAAGCAAGGTTCCGCTTTTTCTTTCATTTTGTGGGTGTGGGTGTCCTTGAAAATCCTATCTCACTGTTAATCTGATAGATGAGGCAAACCATGGTATTTCAGTCAAATCTGAAATACGTCTTCATAGGGACCGACGATGGTGACGTCACAATGCCAAGAAGCAAAAGTGCCAATCCATGACCTCTGTCCGTGTCGTCATAATATCGTGACGTCATAACAAAGCATTGGGAATATGGTCTTTTGACAAACTAGGGAGCAAGCATGGCACTATCTAACTGTGTTTTACCCGTTCATGCATATCAATATGGAATTTCTGGAGCAGCGCCTTTTCAGTACTGGTAAGTTAATGAAGTTTTCAAAGCGGGAATTTTAAACATGTATGGATGTCGGTAACCATTGTTTCATTCTACAGCGATAGTTTTTCCGCAGGAAATACTAAACGATATCGATGAATTAAAACTATCTGAGGGGAAGAAGAATCCTTTATTTTTAAGACAGTAAAATCGTGGCACAAATTAGTTATATGTGCTAGGAATTCTGATGATGGCGTGTGTTTTTGTCTACATTGATATATGGGTATTTTTTATATTTATTTCAGGAGAAGTGACTCAACACCAAAACAAATGCTGTATACATCCTCAGTGAATGGAATTCCCCCCATACTTGCATCCTGCCCCTCAGGTACACGATTTAGAGTTTAAATGTTGATGGGTATCCATAGAAGAGACTTTCATGAACGCAATGGAACGGTAGTCCTATGCTCTTCCATTTTCAGTGCTGTAGCATTAATGAACAGAAAAACTAAACATCTTTTGACAGGTATGAGATCGTACCTGATTCATTAAGAAAATAATCATTGCTTGTGATGCAGGTTATTTTTATATATATAGTTAGCTGTAATTCAATTAAATCTTATACTGATATCAGATATATATTAGACAGGATATTCGAAACATTCATTTATTTACATGTAACCCAAAGTGAAAGATTGTTCCGTTGTGTACATGGGGTCGTGAACATGGTCGCTTAGACATTTATTGTACTATTGTCACTACGAAACGCCCCACCTCACAGTACTATTGTCACTACGAAACGCCCCACCTCACGGTATTATTGCCACTACGAAACGCCCCACCTCACAGTACTATTGTCACTACGAAACGCCCCACCTCACGTTATTATTGTCTCTACGAAACGCCCCACCTCACAGTATTATTGTTACTACGAAACGCCCCACCTCACGGTAGCATTGCCAGTACGAAACGCCCCACCTCACAGGTACTATTGCCACTACAGAAACGCCCCACCTCACGGTATTATTGTCACTACGAAACGCCCCACCTCACGGTAGCATTGCCAGTACGAAACGCCCCACCTCACAGTACTATTGCCACTACGAAACGCCCCACCTCACAGTACTATTGTCACTACGAAACGCCCCACCTCACGGTAGCATTGCCAGTACGAAACGCCCCACCTCACAGTACTATTGCCACTACGAAACGCCCCACCTCACAGGTACTATTGTTACTACGAAACGCCCCACCTCACAGTACTATTGTCACTACGAAACGCCCCACCTCACGGTACGGTAGCATTGCCACTACGAAACGCCCCACCTCACGGTATTATTGCCACTACGAAACGCCCCACCTCACAGTATTATTTTTACTACGAAACGCCCCACCTCACAGTACTATTGTCACTACGAAACGCCCCACCTCACGGTATTATTGCCACTACGAAACGCCCCACCTCACGGTATTATTGCCACTACGAAACGCCCCACCCTCACAGTACTATTGCCACTACGAAACGCCCCACCTCACGGTAGCATTGCCAGTACGAAACGCCCCACCTCACGGTATTATTGCCACTACGAAACGCCCCACCTCACAGTATTATTTTTACTACGAAACGCCCCACCTCACAGTACTATTGTCACTACGAAACGCCCCACCTCACGGTATTATTGCCACTACGAAACGCCCCACCTCACGGTATTATTGCCACTACGAAACGCCCCACCTCACAGTACTATTGCCACTACGAAACGCCCCACCTCACGGTATTATTGTCTCTATGAAACGCCCCACCTCACAGTATTATTGTTACTACGAAACGCCCCACCTCACAGTACTATTGTCACTACGAAACGCCCCACCTCACGGTATCATTGCCACTACGAAACGCCCCACCTCACGGTATTATTGTCACTACGAAACGCCCCACCTCACAGTACTATTGCCACTACGAAACGCCCCACCTCACAGTATTATTGTCACTACGAAACGCCCCACCTCACAGTACTATTGTCACTACGAAACGCTCCACCTCACGGTACTATTGTCACTACGAAACGCCCCACCTCACGGTATTATTGCCACTACGAAACGCCCCACCTCACAGTACTATTGCCACTACGAAACGCCCCACATACATACATGTGTAGTCTTACCAACAAAAATCTCATTTCATTAATCACATCCGTTCCGAGATAATGTGCACGCATGCCATGAATAGTTTGCTGCAGAATTATAAATGGGAAATATACATCTTCAAGTGACCTTAACGGAGATTGCCTCAGACGTGCAGATTATCCCGACATTAAACACAATAAGACGTTAGTACCCGTGAAGATCCGGGTTAGAATTGATCTTCAGTAACCCATGCTTGTCGTAAGAGGCGACTAACGGGATCGGGTGGTCAGGCTCGCTGACTTCATTGACACATGCCATCGTATCCCAATTGAGTAGATAGATGCTCATGCTGTTGATCACTGGATTGTCTGGTCCAGATTCGATTATTTACAGATCGCCACCATTTACAGACCACCGCTGGAATATTGCTGAGTGTGGCGTAAAACTAAACTCACTCACTCATAAGACGTTAGGGTTTGCAACGACATATCACGCACGTCTATATTATAAGTTTCTTTTACAGAAGCTGAGGTGAAACGTATTGAGGAGAGGTTTGACAACTGGAATTGCAGCGCCCAGTCATTGCAACGATCTTATCGGCCGGGAAGAAAATTTATGCCTCGAGCCTTCGCGCATCGTGAGTACAAAAGACTGACAGGATACATTCTATACTGAACCACAAATAGGAAATGTCGCACCGATAGCGGTTTCTTAATGCACACACTTTAATTCACTCTAATCAAATCGGATGATTGAGTTCAATCTTGACAATTCTGTTTAACACATTTTCGGGAATCACATTTAGAGTTCAAACAAACAAAAACACCAATAATGGTACCATTAAGATACCCCAAAGTCAGTATTGTGTGTGGCCTTCATGGGAATCGATGAAAGCGTTGCATCGTCTGTACATGGAATGAATTAGCCGGTTGATGAAGGCCAAAGGCACATGGATCCATACTGTGCGGAATGCCTGATCGAGGCCAGCCGCAGTTGTCGGCCTTGGTTGGAGGTCATTCAGTCTTCTTTGAATCTTGTCCCAAAGGTGTTCTATTTGACGTAAATCCGGACTGAGTGCAGGGTATTGTAGGGTTTGGTTGCCATGTTGTCTTCGGAAGTCTAATATTGCTCTGGCAGTTTGGGCACGAGCGTTGTCTTGCTGGAAGATGTGATTTCTGTAACGACTAAAATGTGGTACAACGTGGGGTCTTATGACTTGATCAATATAGCGAGCAGCTGTCACGCCATTTCCTCATCCTGGACCAAAATACTGGAACACCACAGTGTCATCTAACTGGTTCAGACCGATTGCAGCCCACACCAAAATGCTTGGACCATCCCAGGAGTCTCTTTCAACAATACACTCACTGGAAAACAGTTTCCCCCGCCTTCACCGTACTCTCACTCTGCCATCGACTGTCGAAACACAATATCGGCTTTCATGAGATAAAAGCACAGATCTCCATTGTCGGTGCTGAGTTGCCCATTGCCCATGGGTTTTGGCGGTGATGAGCGGTGAGGACAGGACTACGATATGGTCTGTGACAGCAGAGGTTTCTTCCGCGCAAATGTCGATGCACTGTATCGGCACTGATGGGTCTGTTGTGACTCCCAATGGTCTGGCGTGCTGTTTCCGTCGCTCTGGGGAAACGATCCTGCAGATGTTTGCGCAAAATCTGTCGGTCTTGACGTGATGTTATTGAAGGTCGCCCACTGCGTGAACGGTCTTGGATGCTGTTAATGACCAGATACCACTCCTGCAGTCGGTGAATTCTAAAATGAACATCCGTGCAGACTGGACAACTTGCAATCGTCCCAAGACTTGATTCCTCTGATCTCTCGTGGCATTGTGATCGTGTCGAAACAAAAATGATTTCAGGCGAGTTTGGGACTAGCTTCAATTGGTAGGGTTGTCACGACATGCACGTGCATTTTCATTTTCACGCATGCCATACGGAACCTTTTACTATGTCTGCCTTTTTCGGTGCGTTTGGTCGATATGCTTTTTCATCAGAAAACACACTGATGTTGGTAATAACTGTCAGTTTGGATTCATAACATGTTAACAAAACGGTACAATCATAATGCAAACACCACCTGGTATTTGGTTTTGAAAGGCGACGTTTCTTTTGTGGTTCAGTATATGTTTAGCGTGAGTTAGAAATGTGTAAAGAAATGGATATACGTCGAATAATTCTGGTTTTCTTATCATTGTGTGAGGGAATACCCACAGGTTACAGACTTTTGTAACTTTAGAACGGAATTGGTACTGAGAGTGAATGAGTGAGTTTAGTTTCACGTCGCTTTTAGCAACATTCAAGAAATGTCACGGCGCGACTTTGAAAGGCCAGTTGCAGGGTCAAAGACAATAATGGGCCATCGTGCACCCCTACTCATTTGTCGGTTATGGCTTAGTGAGAAACAACTTTCTCAACCTGACCAGGTTTAGTTCAGATATATCAGTAAACATTTACAATATATTTACACTATTTACTTCTGTGTTAAAGATAGGGTCGATAGTCAATATTATCTTACCTTTTTCGAAAAGTGGTAAATATTACAATAATGTAACTATTAATGTTTATACCAAGAATTTGTTTTCGTCTAATTTCTAGAGTGCACTGTATTATCCGTGGCAACTGCTCTCTACCAATGGGTCGTTTCTGGTGAGTATTCAAACAGTGAAAGAGTTGGGTTATAACCTTTGAAGTGAGACCTGATAAGAGGTTTGACATCTGACTTGTAAAACCTGCTTAGAGGTTTGATATTTGATGTGTAAGACCTGCTGTACCTGGCGTGTCGGGAAAATCATACGTGATACAGGTCCTGGTGCTGAACTGTTTGGTGATACCCACAAGAATAATCATGTTGCTGACAAAAGAAGAATCACAAGTAGAGCAAATCTGGGATTCCAGTCCATGAAGACAGGCTTTTATATCGAACTCCGGTACCTCAAACGACTTGGCAACCTGTCCCGGAATTCAGTATTCAGAGGCAATATATGCATTTGCAGAAGATATTAGTCATAGTTAATAGGGTGCTTTCATCTTAGAAATGCTAATTTATGAAAGCACTAAGAACATAGCGTGTTTGCCATATGTGTATAACTGCATGCATGGAGAGACGGATATTTCACAATTTGGCAATTATATGATAATAGTTTCAATCATTACTACTCTTGTATGTCTGGTGGCGTAAGAAGGAGTAAGGAGATTTGCAGTTTATACATAAGGACTCTGGTGGAAATATAATAAAGTATCAACATATTATCTCCAGGTCTCAGCAGACTTTTCCGCCCATTTCAACCTGACTTCCAAACAGACGGTAAGGAGACAGGAAGTACGTTACAGACACCAGCTGGGAGGAGACAGAGGAGGCGGAGGAGACGCTGAGGGGAGAAGGATAAAGTGAAGTGATGAAGACATGCATCTCAGTGGAGGAAACGGGGGCATGGAGGTGATCCTGAGGGAGTAGGTGAGAGTTTACCAGCAATTGGGTGAAGATGCTGGGGAGCCTAGGAAGAAAGACGGGCTAAAAAAAAGATCATCACAACCCCTGCAGCTGGGAGGAGACGGAAACTAGGAGGAACAAGGAGAGAAACACAACGTTCATCACAGTCCCTGAAGCTGGGAGGAGACGCAGACTAGGAGGAACAAGGAGAGAAACAAAATGTTCATCACAGTCCCCGAAGCTGGGAGGAGACTCGGTTGTTTACAGACCGCCGCCATATTGCTGAATGCAGCCTCAAACAACAAACATAAACAAACAGACCAGCATCAGAGATGCACTTCCTTCATAGCATATACACAGCAAAAAAAGTTAAGCACCCCCATGATTTTTGTGATAGGGGGAAGTTTCAAAGACACATTTTGGAGAAGCTAAAGATAGCATAGATGCAAAACAAATTGCAAGAGAAAGATTTATCAATGGTTTATTCGTTGCATAAAAGATGTTAATTTTCAAGGACTGTAAGTGCCCCAAAACACAGAACGAAAAATGGATGGAATATCGTCCAAAACACAAATGCATGAAAGTATGTTTATTACAAGTCTGAAGGATGCGCCTTTTGAAGAAATCATATTGAACAATCTGAGTCAGTGTCTTAGGAACCATACAATTTCAATAACGTGTGTTGCCACCACGCGCCTGAATTACTGCGGCCAGTCTGCTGGGCATACTCCTGACAAGTCGCCTGAATTGTAACATGGGGAATTGCCGCCACTCCTCGTGAAGTACTGTCACCAGTTGCCTCAGATTTTTTGGAGAAGGATTTATTCTATGTAAACGTCGACCCATTATGTCCCAGACATGCTCGATAGGATTTAAATCTGGAGATATTGCTGGCCATGGTATTCGAGTAACACCATTGTTCTCCAGATGTTGGGTCACAGCTCGGGAACGGTGAGGGCGGGCATTATCGTCCATGAACAGTGGCCAAGTTGCAAGTCTGTGGTCATCAAAATGACCAATCACAACTGGATCCAGCACCTCATCAAGGAAGCGAGCGCCCATAAGTGTACCCTGTAGTGTAACCAAATCCAACTTGCAATCAAACGAAAAGTAACCCCACACCTTAACGGACCCTCCACCATATGGTACTGTTCGCAGAATGTTCCTTGGTGTGTAACGGCTGTTTTTATCTCTTCATACTCTGATTCGCCCATCAACAGCATGAAGGAGGAAAAGACTCTCATCCGACCAGTGGATTCGTCTCCAAGACCTCAGGTTCCACTGCTACCTATCACCACACCACATCCTACGATCCCGTTTGTGGCGATTTGTGAGGTATGGACGTCGGATGACACATCGGGCCCTCAATCCTGCTGCTTTGAGGCGGTTCCTCACGGTCTGATTGCTCAACCGTCTATACGGCCTGTTTCAAGACGGTACTTGAGGCGAACGGTCCCAGTCCTCTTGCAGTGTGGTAGCTCGGGGCCTACCGGAACGGGGACAATCATGAACATGATTTGTTTGGGCATGTTTTCGCACTAAACGACTGATTACCGCATAGTGGTAAGTTGGTAACCAGTCCTTCTCCCAATTTCTATGCACGACATACCCGCTAAATGCTGCCCAATAATTTGCCATCTCATAGCCTCTGACTATCTTCTTCATGCCATTGTTCATGACATGTTGTATTGAACTGACAATGAAGTCGAAAAAGCTGTTTAAATAGCCACGGAAAGTCGAAGGGTGAAACTCCATGTTGCAAAAAGCATGGGTGGCATGATTCACTTGACTAGAGCTCCGTTCGTGAGAGCCATTCCGTAAACCAAAAACACACCAGTTCATAGCCAGGATACCATATTTTGTCTATCCATCAAAAGGAATGGCATGATATTAGAATTTATACAGACATACGCCATTAAATTTGAGGGTCCTTAACTTTTTTTACTGTGTTATATATATGAGTTATTTTACAGTAAGGACAATGTAATCTCTACTTATTCATATAGATGTTTTAGAAGTCACCTACAGTAGAGATGCAGTCCAATTCTCGATTACATACATGTGGGTTATTATTGAATGGTCATGGTAATCATTACTCATTCATATATACAGTATGCAAATACAAGTTTGTTTAAGCAAATATATGTCAACATACATGTATTGCTTATAATGGATACATAAAAATCTGCATACAGCATTTAAAATGTATACAAAATCTGCTTAAAAACTGAATATTGCTGAGTGTGGCTTTAAACAATAAACAATCAAACACCTGTATGAGACCTAAAATTTAAGTATTTTTTGGTTTTATTTTCAAACTTTTTACAGAAAAAAGCAGTGTTGGATACTTGCCCCCAAAACTATTACCAAAATTCTTTCAGTTTTTCAGTTGAACGAAGTTTGTTCACTACCACTTGATCTCTGAAAACAAATTAACTGGCACATTATTTATATACATCCAGTTTGTCTATTTCTTAGCAACCAGAGCGCATATACACTTGGTAAATACAGTATATCTTTATCATGTTTGATGATAACATGTCACAATCATAAGCTAGTCAATTCTGGCATTGAAAAAAAAGTGAATCTTTAATATAATAGACTATAAGTAATTGAGCTTAGCTAGTAGTAGCATCTTGATGCCTCGTTCCCCACAGGATGCTGTCAGTATCATGAATTCAGTTACAAACTATTATCATACAATTGGATTTTCTCAAAATTCTGCAAACCAACTTAAAATGCTGTTTTGGAAACCTTTTATCAAAGAAAATCTGGACTGTATTTGGATATTTCTTATTGTTTACTCCTGTCTCTAGACACATCAACAAACAGATCCAGCCAAAGAAGACGACCTACACCACAAGAGCATCAAACTTTGTCAGTATTAGCCACAGCAAACAACAAACTGCAGATGTTGATTTTACACTTTTTTATTTATTAACACACTGTCACATCCGATGTTTTCAGTGTTCTGCCAATTGTTGGACAGCCCCCACAATACAGAACGAAAATACCAATTTCAGCCATCCTCCAATCGGAATGCACGAATTGCACCTGTGTTGACACTGCAGCCACAGGCCACCATTACACTGTCCCTGCGACAAGAGGTCAGACACTGCTCACTACACCCTGTTGAGATTAAAGTACTTTAAGAACACATTCCATCTGCCAGCAAGAAGGATCAGTCTATTCACATCAGCGCAACACAAGAACTGAATGAATTTGTCAGGTGGTTTGCTTAAGTATCATTATCCATAGGCGGATCAAGAAATTTCCAAAGGCGTGGGGGGTGGTGGTGGTGTTTGTTGTTTTCGAACACACACACACACACACACCTGGATCCGCCACTGATTATCCAACATGAAATGTAATGTTTAGTCAGTCCCTTTGAGATTTGGTTTAAGGCATGGCCCTGTGACAAGGTGAAATTCATCCATTGTCCAGATGACTAATTTGGAGTTGTGAAGGTCGGTTTTGCATTTCTCTGTAGACTGTAGTCATTAAGGTAGCTTAATGATAGGGTATACTTTATGTAGGCTGAAGTCAAACTCAGGAGAATCCTGAAAGAAATAAGAAATGATATAAATTACACAAAAAAAACATTCAAGGATTATCATTACCGGTACATTTGAGTTAGTTAAGCTTGATGCTACTTTGAGTGAGTGAGTGAGTATGGTTTTACACTGCTTTTAGCAATATTCCAGCAATATCACAGTGGAGGGGACACCAGAAATGGGCTTCACATATTCTGCCCATATGGAGAATCAGAGGTGCAAGGGGTGCCCACCCTTTGACACTTGACATGCTGACTGCTTTCTATCTGTGTGTCAACAAATGTTTAGGCAAATGTGTCAACTTTCACACTTACATATTTCCCCTTCAATTCCAAATATGCAGCAATATTACATCGATTTTGCATACACAGCACTGTATGATGTCATACAATGTGGTTATTAGTAACATCATAATCTAGAGAATGTTGCAGCAAAACAAACATTCTCTTTTTTTTATGCAATATATATTGACAAATAATAATCAATTAACTTGGTTTTGTACATTACATCAATTTAGTCCATTATTCTCACCTCTGTTACTTTATATTATAAGTTGTTCACTGGTCTCGAGGGAAACATGGGTTGATGTACCCTCCATGTTTGTTTATGTTCCCTGAGCCTGAGTGGAACATAAAGAAACATCAAGGGTGCATCAACCCATGGGCCCCGAGGCCAAACACCTCAATGATAATTTTGAACTGTTTGAAGCACGGGTATCGGATCATAGTATGGAGTACCAGATGACAAGACAAAAAAATTTGTTTAGAGTGATCTCTCTTCCATCGATTTGCATTTGCAAAACATCGGTAATTTCCATACTTCATACGTGATTACATGTTATTTGAGATAAAGAATGACTACTACGAAAACCAAATGAGTTTGGCATTCCCAGCGGGGTACATAGAAAATGTTACTCGCTTGTAAGCGGGGTACATTGAAAATAATAGAAGAGCGCTCAGCCAATCAGAAAACGACATTTATGTGTGAGGCAAGATAATGATAGATGTACTTATGATGTTTTTAAACACCTCCCCCAATACATGACAGTTTGAGTTGTGTAGTGAACACTAAATCATACCAGCAGACTTCTCAAACTGAGATGTTGTGTTACTTTTGTTTTCAGATTTGTTGGCCCAGAATGTACTTTTTGAGATTTATTCTTCTCTTACAGGAAGTGTTAAGAATGTTATCAACTCACCATACAATATTTCTTGTGTCCTCCAAGTAATAACTTCATCACAACAAAGTTTGTTTTCGCTATCTTCGTCAGTGTTTGAACCTGCAACATCAGATATTTCCATGAGTGAGTCAGTCAGTCAGTTTAGTTTTACACCGCACGCAGCAATATTCCAGCTATATGGCAGCAGTCTGTAAATAATCGAGGTTGGACCAGATAAACCAGTGATCAACAGCGTGAGCATCGATCGCAATTGGGATACGATGACATGTGTCAACAAAGTCAGCGAGTCTGACCACCCAATCCTGTTAGGTGCCTCTTACGACAAGCATGGGTTACTGAAGATATATTCTAACTCAGATCTTAATGAGTACATTTTCATGTAGCATACAGACTGCAATCTAAGGACATGATTAATTTCAAAAACACAATCAATAACTGAATCATCCTTTTTTCTCAAATCACTGATTACATAGACAAATACATATGCATAATAACACAGAAGTATAAAAGAAAACTGTTTCCTCAGTTATATACATTTAGGATTGGTAAACACTGGCACCCATTGCAAAAGCCATACTCTAACTTCATTGTACAAACTGCATGACAATATGACCCGTGAAGGTCTGGGTTAGAATTGGTCTTCAGCAACCCATGCTTGTCAAAAGAGGCGACTAACGAGCTCGGGTGGTCAGGTTTGCTGACGTGGTTGACACATGTCACTGTATCCCAAATGCACGGATCGATGCTCACGCTGTTGATTACTGGATTGTCTGGTCTAGAATAGATATTTACAGACTGCCGCCATATAGCTGGAATATTACTGAGTGCGGCATAAAACAGCATGACAATATAAATAGTCTCCCAAGAAATATTGTGTTAAAATGGACATTAGGTGATGGAAGTGGTAACATCACTTCTAAAAATAAAGGTTTTTTATAATGTTGAATGGTGGCAAAATACAATGGATAACTGAGGTTCCCTTCACTATGTACAGCTTAATACCAGTTCCTACCTCCTCTGATGGAGATGTGATACTCTCGTACAGCGCCTTAGCCTGGTGGAAACATTTACAGGCAGCGGTGTACAAAGCTTCTGGTGATGGTTCAGGTTCGTATTCTTAAGTCAGACATTTCCTGTAAGATATTGTTTGTAATGAACAATTCATATATTCTTTGTACCAGTACATAACACATATTTATCTAGGAAATACTAAATTAATACAGTGTGTTTCCATAAGCATACAACGTTAATTATTCAACACTGAACCTCATCATTATACATTATAATGAAAGTCCTATCACCTTCTTCACAATATTAAAAGAAAACAACTTTCAAAAAGAATTTAATTATTCATTCAGAAAATAGCATGTGAAACCCTTACTCTCCCAAAACTAGACATCATTTGTTTGTTATATATACAGCATCTGTCTTCCTCTTGTATAGAAACTAACATGTCAGCGACTCACCTTATATTGACCATAATGCACCATGGGGGGCGTGACCACATTAGCAAAGGGAGAGAATCGGTGACTGTAGCGGACCTCCTCGCTGTCAAACTCAAAGTCGGGCTGTTTCATCTTCCCGTCTAGTCGGAAACCCAGCACAGCCTGAACATGACACAAACACACAGATCAACATCCAGGTCAAGAGGGGAGTTGAGGTTAGCTTTACACCGCTTCTAGGAACATTCTGTCAATGGAGGGGGACACCAGAAATGGGCTTCACACATTGTACCCATGTGGGGAATCGAACATGGGCCTTTGGTGTGATGATTGAATGCTTTAGCCACTAGGCTACCCCAACACTCTGGAGGTGAGATGAAATGGTTTGTCGAATTGATGCACCTGCACAGGGACATGTATCCACTTGGATGTGACTATTTGAACTTGACAGTTCTATAGTGCAAGCCCAATATAAAATATGTTCAAAGTGGATACCCCATTCTGACACAGTACACTGACTAGCGTTTCCCATGGGGGTCAAATGCCAGAAAGGGTAGAGACAAGCACCATCTATTAACATCTTTAGGAATGGCCCCTCCAGGGATCAAACCATGGACCCTCTGCTCTCCACACAGACACTGTCCACTAGATCACAGAGTCCATCTGATCATCACGCGGTGTAACACATTACTACTATAACAGATAGAAGAAGCACCTACTCCTTAAAAACCAAAATACAGGATAAAGACAAAACTACACATGGAAGAACATGTTTTCTAAGATGATGAATTAAGACAGGTTTGCATAGAGCTTTGTACTGAGGATTTGGTTAGTGTGGATTATGTAATGTGTCAACATTTAATTAAAGGCAGCCTGTGTTCACTTGGGTCACAGTACTGTTTGATGTAAAAAGGTTTTGGCATTCTCTGTATTTGGTACTGAAGCAAACATACTGCAAGATTTCCTTTCAACAAACAACTAAGCCAACTTCAATACAGTTCAACCGATAGGTTCACACAATGAGAACTTGCAAATGATATATACTCCAACCACAGAAAAGGAAACATTCGGTGAGGTTTGCATCATTAGCAAAAGACAAATTTGTCGGCCTCACAGTCGAATCACCTGTGACTGTTGTATCTATTGCTAGTAAAGGTTCCCCCTGTGATGCCAGTGTAGACTGTCTCACCTTGTAGTAGCCCCTATTGCCAGTAAATGTTTTCCCCTGTGATGCCAGTGTAGACAGTCTCACCTTGTAGTAGCCCCATATTGCCAGTAAATGTTCCCCCTGTGATGCCAGTGTAGACAGTCTCACCTTGTAGTAGCCCCTATTGCCAGTAAAGGTTCCCCCTGTGATGCCAGTGTAGACAGTCTCACCTTGTAGTAGCCCCTATTGCCAGTAAATGTTTTCCCCTGTGATGCCAGTGTAGACAGTCTCACCTTGTAGTAGCCCCTATTGCCAGTAAAGGTTTCCCCCTGTGATACCAGTGTAGACAGTCTCACCTTGTAGTAGCCCCTATTGCCAGTAAAGGTTTCCCCCCTGTGATGCCAGTGTAGACAGTCTCACCTTGTAGTAGCCCCATATTGCCAGTAAATGTTTTCCCCTGTGATGCCAGTGTAGACAGTCTCACCTTGTAGTAGCCCCATATTGCCAGTAAATGTTTTCCCCTGTGATGCCAGTGTAGACAGTCTCACCTTGTAGTAGCCCCTATTGCCAGTAAATGTTTTCCCCTGTGATGCCAGTGTAGACAGTCTCACCTTGTAGTAGCCCCTATTGCCAGTAAATGTTTTCCCCTGTGATGCCAGTGTAGACAGTCTCACCTTGTAGTAGCCCCTATTGCCAGTAAAGGTTTCCCCCCTGTGATGCCAGTGTAGACAGTCTCACCTTGTAGTAGCCCCCGCACATCTGCTGCTGAGTCTGGGCAAGGATGATCTCCTTACTCAGGGTTTTCGATCGCTTCTTCTTTTTGTTCTTTTTACTACTCCTGCCTTTCTGTTGTTGATCTGCAAGTTAGAGCTTCATCTGTTTTCAACTATCACACATCTTGTAACTGATAGAAGCATTATATATAAATAATTCTAACTAGAAAAACTTCATTTAACCCATCATCATGAGATGAATATTTGCAAATTGTTGAAAGGATCCATACTGCATACCCAGTTTTACCATGACTACAAAACAATATTTTACCATGACTACAATACATTGTACCATGACTACAATACAATATTTTACCATGACTACAATACAATGTTTTACCATGACTACAATACAATGTTTTACCATGACTACAATACAGTGTTTTACCATGACTACAATACAGTGTTTTACCATGACTACAATACAATATTTTACCATGACTACAATACAGTGTTTTACCATGACTACAATACAATATTTTACCATGACTACAATACAATGATTTTACCATGACTACAATACAGTGTTTTACCATGACTACAATACAATATTTTACCATGACTACAATACAATATTTTACCATGACAACAATACAGTGTTTTACCATGACTACAATACAATGTTTTACCATGACTACAATACAACCACAGTTTGGAAACTACAAGCTTTAATAAACCACTGCCTCACACTCACTGAGTAAGCTTATGCCGAAACAATATTCCAGCTTAATCTTGGCTGTGAATACACATAACTTGCACAGGCAAACTAGTGGTTGATGGCATGAACAAACATCCCATCAAGGTAGGATGATACACAGGTATCACAAGTCACACATTAAAGTACTGACTGACTGACTGAGTTTAGTTTTACACTGCTTTTAGCAATATTCCAGCAATATCACGGCAGGGGACACCAGAAATGGGCTTAACACATTGTGCCCATGTGGGGAATCGAACCCGGGTCTTCGGCGTGACGAGCCAACGCTTTAACCACTAGGCTACCCCACCGCCCCTCCATTAAAGTACTGTCAGAAATAGCCAAAAAACTGTTTTTTCACATTTATATCTACAATTTAGGTAGTTAATATGTGAAAGTGTGAAATATCTGTTAAACTAAGTTCGGCCTAACTACATTCTCAGTTGGAGGGAGATAGGAAATGTTAAAGAAGGATTTTACTGAGGAGATATTAGTGCAGAAATGAGCAATGCGTTTTTTTCAAAGTCCGAAGCAACTTATTTGGAGCAGACCTTGGCTTTATGCAAATTCGTGTGTGATGATATTGTATAACAAATGACACTTTTTGAATGTCCATTTTGAAATTAGACTTAGATTCATTATAAACGATAGCAGACGTAAAAAATAACAAATTTAATACCGAAACAATTAAGGAGGTAGATACCATTGATTCTCACTATCACTATAAAAAGAAACAGGTGGGAGGGGTCGTCTCAAAAGCAAAACCAAGACGGGTGTTGCTGAGGGCAGTTGGGGTCAGGCTTGGGGATAGAGATATCAGCTGAGATTAGATAATCAATAGAGACATATTCAATACACATGAAAAAGCATAAAATATATTTGAGATGACCCCCTTGTGTCTGTGGGCAGCACATGCATTTCATGCCAAGTGAGTCCACGGTCTGTCGTCATACCTGGCTGAGCGACCTAATTGCCATTATAGTCTGATCTATTGTTTTCAGCAGCTATTCATATTTTTTCTAAGTTTTGCCCGATTTTACGAGTAAACATGCTTTTCTGGATATCCTATTACGCATCCCACTGAACGCCCAGTTAGGCCGATATGGGTTTTTTCGACATATGCTATTTGCAATTGTGTCAATTTTAGGGATACAGATTAACAGCCTTAAAACAGTTTTTTGTTCTTTTTCCACCAGTACTTTAGGATCACCCAGTCCTCACTTGGCTCTCGTGCGGACACTGGGTACCAGTTCTTGTCATAACAATCTACAAACAAATACACCTCACGTCTCACCCTACCTATTAATGTCTCGTGTTCCAGGAGGAAGTTGTCAGCTCGGTGGAGAGTTGACACCAGCCATGCATACAGCAGCTCATACAGGTACCTGCATAACAAACACCATTTAGGGCTAGGATCTGCATTGAAAGTTCCCACAGCTTGGACAAGCAGCAAGAATTCAATAGTTCAATTTACTATCCTAACAAAGTGTTATTTGGATTGATATGCAAATTAAATTACACACTTGTTTGTGTTATTAACAAAGCAAAAGCAGATATTTACCGAGAAATATAGTCAAATCAGTCATAACGTCAAAACAGATGAATAATAATATGGACTGCTCATACTCTTACGAATGTCTGGGTACAACAATGGGGCATACAGAGTTGTGTCCCTTAATACTTGCCAGATTACAAGGTACCATGTGCTTCATGTCAAATATGCCTCACGATGATAGTTATAACACCATACACAGTCCCTCTCAACCTGAAATCCACATGACGATGTCACCATAATCACTGACTCCTCACCTGAAGCAGTGCTGTGATTGTCATGCGACTCACCAGTACACATAGTGGTATTCATACGGTGCATACAGCTCCAACTCAAAGCCTGCCAGGGTGTAGTAGATCATAGCCTGGAGGGTGTGGTACAGAACCCAGGTCCCGAAACATGCCAGGTGGTTCCGACTGGGCTCTGTCTTCACCAGGATGCCATGCAGAAATGCATCAACCTTGTCAGCCTAGAATTAGTTTTGAAATACAACAACCAGCTAATTAATACTTTTACACAAGATGATAGATATTTCTTGTTAAAGTCTTTGCAACAAAATCTTGTTTACCAGTGATAAATTTGAGTTATACTTTGGATAAGGTTTGGTACATAGACAAATTTAAGGCAGCGGATAATGATCTGGTTACAGTAATGGCCCATGTTTGATTCCCCCCTAGCAGTTAATATGTGATATCCCACTGGTAGGGGTGACTATTGAGGGGAAAACAACTACTGTGATAGCAATAGTCTACTGGAACATACTATTGCGATAGCAATACTCTATTGCGACCAACTATTGCAATAGTTTTTTCTCCTTGAATTGTCTCATTTAAAGTCATTTCCCAAATGAATGTATGTATATGAAATACAAACAAGCTGAAGTAGATTCAGTCCCTAATGATAACTGACAAGAAACTCGAAACCCACATCAAGTTAGTTTAAGAGGTAATAGGGGGCGGATAACTCTAAATCAAAGTGAACGAATCTGGTACTTCCTGTATTTCGCGCTGCACAGAAGTGAATTACTAACCTATTGATAGTCACAAATACTATCGATAGTTTTTCGTTCCTACCATCGATTAATTGCTATCAGAGACTCAACAGTTGCAATCCATCGATAGTTTGATGCATCGTTACTGCCCTACCCACTGGATTTTCCAACATTACCATGATAACATTGTTGCAGCATTCATATAAAATAAGACTGGGCAGGTGTATCAGTCATGAGTCATGCATGGTTTATGTTCTCAAGCCAAGAGATTTCAGTTACGGCTGTGAAATATTACCGGTAAACCAGTCTTGCAATACGAATATTGTGATATGGTTCAGATTCTGCAATATAGTGGGTCATCCAGAGTTAGTTCCCTTTGAATTATCTGCCCTTGATTTTCATAGCAACAAAATGTGGTCTAAACGTGTCAAATTCACTTTTATTCTGTTGGTTTCATGTAACATTTTACAAGTGGAAATATCTTAATAAGTTTGTTTTTGTTGTTTTTTTATCTTAATATATGGCTCCACTTATTCCAGCAAATGCTTTAAGTTTTCTGGGTTTGAATTGTTTCATACATGACATTTTGGAGGAATTAAGTGGCCTCAAATGGACCAATTTTTTATTTGGACTTATTAGTAGAGCCTCTGGCTCTGACTTACCATTTCACAATTCATTATATTTTGATATTTTTGTTTGGTTCATAATGGGATATATGTTATCAATTTATCATAAAGGCCTATGTCGTATAAATTTTGTAGGACTGTATAATGACACCTAAATCATGTTTTTGTTTCATTTTGCAATAGTTTATATTAACACATGTTTATATTGGAGGTGAATCTGAGTGAATCAGTGCATTCTGTTGAAGCAAACAACACTGACCATGAGAATCATGTTACACTTTTACTTTTATCATTATGTTCGCAAACCTTTCTTGCAATACTTCAATGAAACATTCCACATTAAGACTCTATATCATTTTATTTATCTGTAAACCATTGGCATACAGCCATACATGGGGATGGGGAGCCTGAAAGTATGGTGTAACAGCAACTAAGAAGATGATGTCGTACACAGAGAGCTATTATGAATTTATGATGTAACGCACTTGGGCAGAAACCTCCCAGTCAATATATCACAATATGTATTGCAATATCTCTTAAAGGTCACATGCAACCAAAATATCACATAATTAAAACACAATTATCACTTATTCATGATATATAATATACATTGCTGATTATGAAAAAACATATAAACAAAATTATAAGCGTACAATCGCAAATCAAAAGTGCAGTATTTTGTACTTGGGTTTACTTCCCTAGAAACGAAGCAGCCGGGATACCGAACCCAGTCAGAGCGGGTGGGTGTGCACTCAAGTGTAACGGCTGGTTCATTTGCAGATGCCCTCACAGCTCATTGTGTGTGTATATATAGATATGTTGGGTTTTGTAAATACATGCTCAGTTTTTGTGTATAACATTTTGCAATCAACAGACATCAAAACATGTCATGTGTACAAGTATCACACCTGCCTGTCTGTGTAATTACATAATGTGACAGAGACCGAACTCGGGACATAAATCACCTGATAGGTGTTAGTTCAAATTGCATGTGGTCAGTGATCGAAGTTGTGTATTGAATATTGTCATTAGCAGACAGGCAGGCAGACACACAGGTGTCAATAAAACAGACCTTGAGTTTTGTCTGTGACAACGACATATCTATATCACAGTTAGAAATTCTGTCAACGCTAAATAATGACATTGCTTTTAAGTATCGAACTGAGAAAGTAACTCGGTAAGAAGAACGTGTGGTGAAATAGACAAATGAAATTATAAACAGTTAAATCGGTAATCTACTGTCATAACATATAAAAAGCTCGCGCCTGTGCAATATCAACAAAACATTAGAAAAATAGCTCACACCAAAGCCTTCACGAGTATTCACCGGACAACCCGCTTCCAATTGCGCGAATCTATTTCACTGCGCATGTGCTATGAGCGCAGCCCAGCTCAGCGCAGCCCAGCTGTCGAAACCACTTTTTCCCCAAGCTCTGGGGGAAAATTAGTGAATTGTTTGAACTCCAATTTCGCGCGGGTTTTTTCATCGCGTTATTTTTCAACTTTATAAGTTGAATTTGCATTTATGATGATTTGTTTCGGTAAGTCCATACCGAAAGGATATCAGAATCTGCAAATTTGTATTTTACGTTTCATGTGATCTTTAAATTATTGCAATATATCACAATATGAGAATCAGGGCAATATCCAGCCCTACTTCCAGTCACCCCCTCACCTCCTCCTGCAGAAGCGCCAGATCCTCCAGAACGTGTGCCCACTTGTCCCTCTGCCGGGCTCGGTTGTGTCCGGTAATCTGGAACAATGTACAGACAGGCCGCACGGCATGTGTCAGCAGGGCGTCCACGTACTCCTTGGCTTGGGGGTTGTTGTACAGGCTGCACCTGGAACATGAACAACAGTTACTTGTGTCCTACATCCATATTGTCCTTGATCACTCATGTCCTAGATATCCTAGATCTGATATATTCTTGATGTAAGACATCCCAGATCAAAGATGTCCTTCATCCAAGATGTCTCAAGTTGTTCTTGATCTAAGATCAAAGCAGTCCAAGATGTACAAAATCTACCAACTGAAGACTGGTTTTAAGATGCAGTCTGCAGTATGTTAGTTATCTGGTTATGTCACCTCCATGGTTTAGACTCACCATGTCTATGGAGGCAGACAGTTAGTCAGTTACTCAAAGACAGTCAACATCTACATCTGACTGACTGACTGACTGACTGAGTTTAGTTTTACACCGCTTTTAGCAATATTCCAGCAATATCACGGCGGGGGACACCAGAAATGGGCTTAACACATTGTGCCCATGTGGGGAATCGAACCCAGGTCTTCGGCGTGACGAGCCAACGCTTTAACCACTAGGCTACCCCACTACCCCAACATCTACATCTGAAGGAGCATGGAACATATTTGGAATTTAAGTCTACTTACTTCTGAGACAATGCAGGTGGTGCAATGAAGTTCCTGATTGTATCCTTCATGAAGTCTATGACAGCATGAATCCCAAAGATTAGCCGGTTGGCAGGCAGGAGAGTTTGCTGTCAGCAGAGAACAGTCAGATAACAGTCGAGGGAAGAGGAAGATGTCAGAAGGGGCAAGATCTGGAGAATAGGCTGGGTGAGGGAGAATCCTGAAGCCACAGTCCTGTCCAGCTCTTACTGCCACTTGGGCCGTGTGAACTGGAGCATTGTCCTGGAGGAGCCAGACACCTCCTCAGCGAAGTTTACATCAGCACATTTCTCTAATCTGATGATGCTTCCTACTCAATTCATCAGCGTAATATGTATCATTTATTGAGGAACCGTTCTTCAAATAGTCTATCATGATTGCCCCCTCCGAGTCCCAGAAACTGTATCATGTTCTTCACAGGTTTGATTGAGGAAGGGGGTGTTGTGGGGTGGGGCCTGAGATTGATCTTGGGACTGTATCATAATTTGCTGTTACCACACTGCCCTTTCTCATTAAATATACTGGTAATATTTTATCATATAACAATCCTTTGGTACAATATATCTGGGTATATATTGGCAGTTCTTCTGCTTGGGATACCTTCAGTCTATAGTGTAGAGAAAACATACCTGAAGTATTGACCTTGCCAGAACACAGGGGCCAGACTTGCTGAACTCGATGAACGTTTCCTTGAGGCAACACAGAAAACATCTCAACGATAGAAACAAGGATTCATCCTCCTGGCTAAAATAATTTCATTTTTTGTTCTGATGTATACTAGCATCATTGGAACCTATCTAATGAAGTGATCTGCTGGCCACAGGGACACTTAGTGTGAAAGGAATTGACAATTAACAACAGGATTCTGTGAATTCAGCTAAACACTCCGCTGGTACTGTAGATGCCATGCTTCAACACATACAAACTGTTTACAAGTATCATATGATAAACTATTACATATCGATATGTTTCAGACAGTGAGAGAGTGTGCTGTGTTTAACAGTTTAACAGTGATAAAATAAATATGAGCTATTCAGCTTGCCACAAGCCAGCATCATAATGTATCAAGCCACCAGTACTTTGCGCTCAGCAATACAAGAGCAGGTCACTTGACCGAGACAGCATTGTGAATGATGTACCTGCATCACATCATCTAAACACAACAGGACATTTTTGTAAATCTATCATGTTTACATCCAGCAAATTTGTTTATCCTTAGAACAGGATCAATCCATCCTCCTATGGAGTCTCATGGTCCAACAGAAACTTAACATGAAAGACTTGGTTGTGTTCCTAACAATGGCCTTACCAGGATCATATGAAGTGATGTCATCTCTGGCACAGACGTGACAGTCTGGAGCCGAAGCAGGAGATTCTCCACATAATCCATGGCTTCTGTCCGACTCTTGATCACTGTGTAGCGAGGAAACGTGGGTGGCAACAGTCTCTGGTTGATCAAGGGTTCAAACCCCATGATAGTTGGATAGTCTGAATAAACACAAATGGCCGCATTTTATTACAAACTGGAACTAAATATAACAATTAGAAAATGTAAACAGTGTAATTAATAATCACATTCAACATGCCCATGCAGCATTTAGCGACAAAGTCTTTAAGGCTTGTCAAATGTGGCTTACATTATTCCTTTGGATATTTTTGGAATAAAGCATTCTAAGTTTAGCCTGCAAACTGGGTATGAGTATCTTCCTTTCAGTGTTCAGATTCAGCTTCATGCAAAATAGGTTTAACAAGAAGACATAGTCATCAATATCCCCGCCACAGTGTTCTGTTCCTATTTGGTTCCTGTTTCTTAACTCCACCATAACATTCATATCCTGAAAACGGTTACTACGAAAATCTGTCTCCATTGGGGATACCATGTACTACGTCAAGAAATGCGTGACAAGGGCTATAACTCTGTAACAAATTGTAAAACTGTTTCCATTTTTGAACTCCATCAAGGCATTAATGTCCTGAAAACACATACCAAATTTAGTTTCCCTATCTATAACAGTTTTTGAGAAAATCTGTCCCCATCATCTCGGACGGAAGGAAGGAAGGATGGACGGACAGAGCTCAAACCAAAATGTACTGTAGTTATGTACTAAGTGCCAGGAGAGAACAGAAACTGTGGATATGTGGGTGCTAACCCAAACTACCAACTTCACTTCATCTTGAATAGGTTAGCCTTCAAGTACTTCATATTATTATAACATAGGAGTTAATACCTACAGCATGGTAGTGAATCCACTGTTACTATTGTCATTACCACATGAGAGGATACTATCTACTGTTCTCACACAGTGGTACTATTGTCATTATCACATGGGAGGACACTATCTACTGTTCTCACACAGTGGTACTCTTGTCATTATCACATGAGAGGACACTATCTACTGTTCTCACACAGTGGTACTACTGTCATTATCACATGAGAGGACACTATCTACTGTTCTCACACAGTGGTGCTATTGTCATTATCACATGAGAGGACATTATCTATCGTTCTCACACAGTGGTTCTATTGTCATTATCACTTGAGAGGACACTATCTACTGTTGAAGAGCTCTGCTATAAATTTATATTGAAAACAAACCAGACAAAGTCAGTCGAGAAACTATCACAAAGAATTATGAATACGGAGGAATACGAGCCCCAGAGATAAAAAATCTTATTCAATCACAAAAAAATATCATGGATTAAAAGACTCACCAACTCAGATCAAAGGTAAGGAAATTGCTACAAACGAAGACACATTAGGACATCGACAGCTTTGTACAAACATGCAAAACACACATACTTGAATAAGTAATATCACAAGAAACAAATCATTTTTGGAAAGACACTTTGAAATCATGGGGTAAATTCGTAACCAGAAAAGCAGAAAAAGCAAAAAATACATGTGATATTTTATCCCAACCCTTATGGTTAAATGACAATATTAAAATAGATGGAAAACCAATCAATTATAAACATTATTCAAGCAAAGGGATTACTGATATAAATGACGTTTGACGCCCAAGGTAACTTTTTAACGGTGGAACAATTAAAAAAATCGTTTGGGTGCAAAACTAACTTCCTAGAGCCAAGGAATAGTGGAATCAATTAAATACTACTGCAAATCCATAAACATCCATATTGAAGAGAAAATCCAAGCTCCGATCTTGCCCTATCTTTTACGAAATATAGTAGGAAACCCAAAAGGATGTAGAGATATCTATGACATACTCATAAATGGTAAATCTAGAAAACCTTTAACATATCGAAACAAGTGGCAAAAAGAACTATTGACGATAATATATGGGAAACGATAGAAAAAACAACCTTTAAATCGTATAATAATGTAAAACACGCGTGGTTTCAATACAGCATACTGCATAGGTTTCTGCCAACAAATGATTTGCTAACAAAAATGAAATATCAAGATTCAAACACATGCACATTTTGCAAATCCGAGAAAGAATCAATTCTACATCTATTTTGTGACTGTAAAGTCATAAAAACTATTTGGAAGAAAATAGAAGAAAGGATATTCGAAAAAACAGGGTCAAATATTATCTTTTCAAAGAAAAATATTATTCTAGGATATTGTGAAAAGAGAAACCATGCTCTGAATTTGATAATAACAGTAGTGAAATATAATATATACAAAATGAAACAAAGAGATAAAACACCCAATTTGAACTACATTATAGAAGACGTAAAGACAACATATTATGCTGAACGTTTTAATGCCTATTCAAATTGCAAATATGACAGCTTCACAAAATTTTGGTCACCATGTCACAACCTGTTCTGTTAACCTAGCGCTATATATAATGTACTGCTATTATATTTTCAAGTACCTATTCATTTCCACCTGAATGCACAATTGCCTGTAAATCAACTTTATATATATTTGCGAATCGTGTTTATACCAACCCGTTATGTAATGAACTGTACGACCTGGATGTATGGAGAATCAAAAAAAAATAATAAAAAAATAAATAAATAACATTCATATCCTGAAAAGACATACCACATTTGGCTTCCCTATCCATATCGGTTACTATGAAAATCGGTCCCCATTGGGGATACCATGTACTACGTCAAGAAATGCGTGACAAGGGCTATAACTCTGTAACAAATTGTAAAACTGTTTCCATTTTTGAACTCCATCAAGGCATTAATGTCCTGAAAACACATACCAAATTTAGTTTCCCTATCTATAACAGTTTTTGAGAAAATCTGTCCCCATCATCTCGGACGGAAGGAAGGAAGGATGGACGGACAGAGCTCAAACCAAAATGTACTGTAGTTATGTACTAAGTGCCAGGAGAGAACAGAAACTGTGGATATGTGGGTGCTAACCCAAACTACCAACTTCACTTCATCTTGAATAGGTTAGCCTTCAAGTACTTCATATTATTATAACATAGGAGTTAATACCTACAGCATGGTAGTGAATCCACTGTTACTATTGTCATTACCACATGAGAGGACACTATCTACTGTTCTCACACAGTGGTACTATTGTCATTATCACATGAGAGGACACTATCTACTGTTCTCACACAGTGGTGCTATTGTCATAATCCCATGACAGGACACTATCTACTGTTCTCACACAGTGGTACTCTTGTCATTATCACATGGCAGGACACTATCTATCGTTCTCACACAGTGGTCTACTGTTCTCACACAGTGGTACTATCTGTTCTCACACAGTGGTTATTGTCATTACCACATGGGAGGACACTATCTATCGTTCTCACACAATGGTGCTATTGTCATTATCACATGAGAGGACACTATCTACTGTTCTCACACAGTGGTACTATTGTCATTATGGGATAGAAGGACACTATCTTCTGTTCTCACACAGTGGTACTATTGTCATTATCAGATGGGAGGACACTATCTATCGTTCTCACACAGTGGTTCTATTGTCATTATCACATGGGAGGACACTATCTATCGTTCTCACACAGTGGTGCTATTGTCATTATCACATGGGAGGACACTATCTACTGTTCTCACACAGTGGTACTATTGTCATTATGGGATGGGAGGACACTATCTACTGTTCTTACACAGTGGTACTATTGTCATTATCACTTGGGAGGACACTATCTATCGTTTTCACACAGGGGTGCTATTGTCATTATCACATGAGAGGACACTATCTACTATTCTCACACAGTGGTGCTATTGTCATTATCACATGAGAGGACACTATCTACTGTTCTCACACAGTGGTGCTATTGTCATTATGGGATGGAAGGACACTATCTACTGTTCTCACACTGTGGAACTATTGTCGTTATCACATGGGAGGACACTATCTACTATTCTCACACAGTGGTGCTATTGTCATTATCACATGGGAGGACACTATCTATCGTTCTCACACAGTGGTACTATTGTCATTATCACATGGGAGGACACTATCTATCGTTCTCACACAGTGGTACTATTGTCATTATCACATGGGAGGACACTATCTACTGTTCTCACACAGTGGTACTATTGTCATTATCAGATGGGAGGACACTATCTATCGTTCTCACACAGTGGTGCTATTGTCATTATCCCATGACAGGACACTATCTACTATTCTCACACAGTGGTACTATTGTCATTATCACATGGGAGGACACTCTCTACTGTTCTCACACAGTGGTCCTATTTTCATTATGGGATGGGAGGACATTATCTACTGTTCTTACACAGTGGTACTATTGTCATTATCACTTGAGAGGACACTATCTACTTTTGAAGAGCTCTGCTATAAATTTATATGGAAAAACAAACCAGACAAAGTCAGTCGAGAAACTATCACAAAGAATTATGAATACGGAGGAATACGAGCCCCAGAGATAAAAAATCTTATTCAATCACAAAAAATATCATGGATTAAAAGACTCACCAACTCAGATCAAAGGTAAGGAAATTGCTACTTACGAAGACACATTAGGACATCGACAGCTTTATACAAACATGCAAAACACACATACTTGAATCAGTAATAACACAAGAAACAAATCATTTTTGGAAAGACACTTTGAAATCATGGGGTAAATTCGTAACCAGAAAAGCAGAAAAAGCAAAACAAAAAATACATGTGATATTTTATCCCAACCCTTATGGTTAAATGACAATATTAAAATAGATGGAAAACCAATCAATTATAAACATTATTCAAGCAAAGGGATTACTGATATAAACGACGTTTGACGCCCAAGGTAACTTTTTAACGGTGGAACAATTAAAAAAATCGTTTGGGTGAAAACTAACTTCCTAGAGCGTCAAGGAATAGTGGAATCAATTAAATACTACTGCAAATCCATAAACATCCATATTGAAGAGAAAATCCAAGCTCCGATCTTGCCCTATCTTTTACTTAAATATAGTAGGAAACCCAAAAGGATGTAGAGAAATCTATGACATACTCATAAATGGTAAATCTAGAAAACCTTTAACATATCGAAACAAGTGGCAAAAGAACTATTGACTCTCTCCTGACAAAAATGAAATATGTTATGTGGGAGGATGGGAGGAGTTACAAGAGGATTCAAACACATGACTCACATTTGTGGTGGGTGAAACAAATACTTTGGATTATAATTTAGTGATTTAAGTAAGCGATATTGTAAATAATTTCAAGGAGAAAGAATCAATTCTACATCTATTTTGTGACTGTAAAGTCATAAAACCTATTTGGAAGAAAATAGAAGAAAGGATATTCAAAAACAGGGTCAAATATGATTAGCAAAAAACACTATCTCCTTCAAAGAAAAGTGTTTTCTGTGAGAGAAATTCAAACGCTGTCTTTTCCATTCCAATGGTTCATAATCCTCACCAGTGAGGTGTCAGAAAACTACATCTGTAGATCCTAAGCTAGCGCGTAATCTCCGCTTTCTATCCTCCAATCGAAAGCACGAGGTAAGCGCCAGTAACTCTAGTAAATTCTGTTAATTTAACAATCTCTGCTCCTTATAGAAATCAAGCTGGTGAACTCCAAGCCGTGTAAGATATGTTGATAAATGTCGCAAGCCTTTAAAATGTTTGTTCATGGCCGTAGTAACACAAATAGTCTGCCACTTCGAGGATGCGTGAGCATCTCTCGGCCAAAACTCCTTGTTTGCTGCATAATTTCTGAACTTCGCTCACTTGTCATCGTGTGACAAGTTACGCTGCTGGAGTATCGTGAAGGCACCGCTGACTGCCACTTCTGGTAGAATATCCTCTCTTGTTTAAAGTTCACATTTGCAATACAGTCCATACGGAAGTTTGAATACTTCTGCTTCTGTGCATTTCATTGAGGCCTTCCCATGAAATGTGCTTAGAGCGGCCTGTTGCCCATGCTTGTGGGTCTGGCACTGGTGACACCTCTATTAATAGATCTACTACGGGCGCTCCTATTTGCTTCTGATTATCTGTGCAAATCTTCCTGTATTGAGCATCCATTCTGTCGGGCTTAATGTAGATGTGGCAGAGAGTGCGGGCCTGGCTAGTATAATATTCCCTGGCTCCGGGAATGTGGCATGCTTTGGAGCATGTAGATTTCTTTAGATCTCTGGATTAATCTCAACAGCTGAAAGGTGAAATTCAAAAGGTTCGCTACCCCAAGGAGCCTTGTCTGTTCACATAAAACGCCACTGTCGAAGTTGTCGGTATGTATCATCAGGTGCGATTCTGTAGAATGTTGCCCAATGTTCATGGCTGGATTAAAGCTTTCATCTCTAATGCGCCATGGAGCTCTTGCTTTTCTAGCTGAGTCCATAACCCTGGATACGGCCCGCCAGAGAGATGAGCCTTCCCTAACCTTGGAGCTGACAAGGCCTACATATAGATGGTTCTTGAATTCCTGCCTGCAAGCAACAAATCCCTTCGCGAGACATTCGGGATTTCTCTTTGTCCACCATCACAGATGATGCCCGAGGTCTGAGATGCGGTCGGGTAGACTGGAATGGCTGCAGGCTTCCGCCGAGATGTGTATTGATCATATGGGAACGATAGAAAAAAACCTTTAAATCGTGTATAATAGTGTAAAACACGCGTGGTTTCAATACAGCATACTTCATAGGTTTCTGCCAACAAATGATTTGCTAACAAAAATGAAATATCAAGATTCAAACACATGCACATTTTGCAAATCCGAGAAAGAATCAATTCTACATCTATTTTGTGACTGTAAAGTCATAAAAACTATTTGGAAGAAAATAGAAGAAAGGATATTCGAAAAAACAGGGTCAAATATTATCTTTTCAAAGAAAAATATTATTCTAGGATATTGTGAAAAGAGAAACCATGCTCTGAATTTGATAATAACAGTAGTGAAATATAATATATACAAAATGAAACAAAGAGATAAAACACCCAATTTGAACTACATTATAGAAGACGTAAAGACAACATATTATGCTGAACGTTTTAATGCCTATTCAAATTGCAAATATGACAGCTTCACAAAATTTTGGTCACTATGTCACAACCTGTTCTGTTAACCTAGCGCTATATATAATGTACTGCTATTATATTTTCAAGTACCTATTCATTTCCACCTGAATGCACAATTGCCTGTAAATCAACTTTGTATATATTTGCGAATCGTTATGTAATGAACTGTATGACCTGGATGTATGGAGAATCAACCAAAAAATGTTATAAAAAAAAATAATAACATTCATATCCTGAAAAGACATACCACATTTGGCTTCCCTATCCATATTGGTTACTACGAAAATCTGTCCCCATTGGGGATACCATGTACTACATCAAGAAATGCATGACAAGGGCTATAACTCTGTAACAAATTGTAAAACTGTTTCCATTTTTGAACTCCATCAAGGCATTAATGTCCTGAAAACACATACCAAATTTAGTTTCCCTATCTATAACAGTTTTTGAGAAAATCTGTCCTCATCATCTCGGACGGAAGGAAGGAAGGATGGACGGACAGAGCTCAAACCAAAATGTACTGTAGTTATGTACTAAGTGCCAGGAGAGAACAGAAACTGTGGATATGTGGGTGCTAACCCAAACTACCAACTTCACTTCATCTTGAATAGGTTAGCCTTCAAGTACTTCATATTATTATAACATAGGAGTTAATACCTACAGCATAGTAGTGAATCCACTGTTACTATTGTCATTACCACATGAGAGGACACTATCTACTGTTCTCACACAGTGGTACTCTTGTCATTATCATGAGGGATGGTTCTCACACAGTGGTAGGACACTATCTACTGTTCTCACACAGTGGTACTATTGTCATTATCACATGGGAGGACACTATCTACTGTTCTCACACAGTGGTACTATTGTCATTATGGGATGGGAGGACACTATCTACTGTTCTCACACAGTGGTACTATTGTCATTATGGGATGGGAGGACACTATCTACTGTTCTCACACAGTGGTACTATTGTCATTATGGGATGGGAGGACACTATCTACTGTTCTCACACAGTGGTACTATTGTCATTATGGGATGGGAGGACACTATCTACTGTTCTCACACAGTGGTACTATTGTCATTATGGGATGGGAGGACACTATCTACTGTTCTCACACAGTGGTACTATTGTCATGGGATGGGAGGACACTATCTACTGTTCTCACACAGTGGTACTATTGTCATTATGGGATGGGAGGACACTATCTACTGTTCTCACACAGTGGTACTATTGTCATTATGGGATGGGAGGACACTATCTACTGTTCTCACACAGTGGTGGTACTATTACTGTTCTCATGGTACTATTGGATGGGATGGAGGACACTATCTACTGTTCTCACACAGTGGTACTATTGTCATTATGGGATGGGAGGACACTATCTACTGTTCTCACACAGTGGTACTATTGTCATTATGGGATGGGAGGACACTATCTACTGTTCTCACACAGTGGTACTATTGTCATTATGGGATGGGAGGACACTATCTACTGTTCTCACACAGTGGTACTGGGATGGGAGGACACTATGTCATATTGTCATGGGATGGGAGGACACTATCTACTGTTCTCACACAGTGGTACTATTGTCATTATGGGATGGGAGGACACTATCTACTGTTCTCACACAGTGGTACTATTGTCATTATGGGATGGGAGGACACTATCTACTGTTCTCACACAGTGGTACTATTGTCATTATGGGATGGGGAGGTACACATCTACTGTTCTCACACAGTGGTACTATTGTCATTATGGGATGGGAGGACACTATCTACTGTTCTCACACAGTGGTACTATTGTCATTATGGGATGGGAGGACACTACTGTTCTCACACAGTGGTACTATTGTCATTATGGGATGGGAGGACACTATCTACTGTTCTCACACAGTGGTACTATTGTCATTATGGGATGGGAGGACACTACTGTTCTCACACAGTGGTACTATTGTCATTATGGGATGGGAGGACACTATCTACTGTTCTCACACAGTGTCATTGTCATTATGGGATGGGAGGACACTATCTACTGTTCTCACACAGTGGTACTATTGTCATTATGGGATGGGAGGACACTACTGTTTTCACACAGTGGTACTATTGTCATGGGATGGGAGGACACTATCTACTGTTCTCACACAGTGGTACTATTGTCATTATGGGATGGGAGGACACTACTGTTCTTACACAGTATAACTCTTGTCAGTATGAGACAGGGGTCCACTACCTACCATTCTTGGTGGCCTCCCTGTCCTCCGGCTGGATACCGAAGTGTATGGTAGCCTTCACCTGGGGGACCAGCTCCAGCAGCTGGACCAAGGTTTTCTGAGCCTGGGGGATACCCTCACACTGACAACATACATCAGTGACGGCATTAGCACCATTAGGTTAATGTAACAGAATAACATTTAGAGTTGGCTTTTACACTGCTGTGAGCTGTATACCAGTTACATGACAGCATGTCAGCTTGAAACCACCCATGCCCCATAACAATACAGAATTACACAGGGAGATATCATGAAGTGTAAAATTCAAAGCCCTAAACATGCACCTTTTCTTTGCTGAATGACATTAGCATGGAGTGTAGAAGCCTGTAGAAGCGGACCCTGGAGAACACAGCTGTAGCCAGTTCATGCTGTAACACAATTCAACATTCAACATTACACACATAAACGTCACAGATTTCATGTCATTTGAATGGCGAACCAAGCAACAATTATGGATGTTTATGGAATAATCACTTACAACTGTGACAGTGCTTGTGCTCACTTGGAGCTGTGTCTTCCCTGCTTGTTCAAATGTCTTAGTATGAGTTGTGTATCTCAGACTGTGTAACAGCAGAGTTGCATATATGTACCCCAAGGAGGATTCTCTTCAAAGACTTGGAAACCTCTACAGGTTTAGCTAAGTTTCATTTAGCACATAAAATCTCATTTTTCTGCGGCTGAAAATGTCATGTGACAGTTGTATCAATGTTTTAATAAAAATATTGTACAATAAATACAAATCTTTTTTATCTATTATACGGCCCCCACCACGTGGAGTTACCTCCCTTATAAAAGAATGGTAATTTCTAAACCAAAGCTCAGTGGTATCTATGAATATACAGGACTAACAGGGATTGGGTGGTCAGGCAGGCTTTCTTTGTTGACACGTCATCGTATCCCCATTGTATATAGATTGATACTCATGATGTTGAAAATTGGATTGTCTGGTCCAAACTTCGATTATTTACAGACCACCGCCATATATTTGGAATATTGCTGAGTGCAGCGTTAAACAATCAATCAGCTTGTAAAATCCTGCACATTCCACTACTGACACATGCAAGAAATTTGCAAGCTTGCAATTTTCAGAATACTTATTTCCAGTGAAATATTACTATATTACACCCTGCCAAGTTCCAAGTACTTTGTTCACTCCCATGTGTGATTAGGGTCATATGACTAACCTGACAAGATAGAGAAAGTATGTTCTTGTTGTTGCAACAGCTATTAGAATAGCATAGTAGCATATATGCAAAAATGGGTAAGTTATTACATTCACCCCAAAAGGCAATATGGAAGATTACCTCATGCTCTGTGGCGGAGTCTCTCTCTTCTCCTGGCTTACTGCGGGTCATCTGGGGAGAAAGATTATACAACAGTTGTGTACCACTCATACAACAGGTGTTGCACAACAAAAACAACACAGGTATCAAGTGGGGTCAGCCAGGGGACACAACTCTGGACCACACATAAACACACAGCAGACAAGAACTCCTAACTGTATACTCTCAACACAAGCTGGGAATGAAAACTATAATCCCATTACAGACTGAATAAAACTTAGCTGATTTAATCACAAAGAAATAAGTTCTAGAGTAGGCCTTGTCAACATAAATGTACCTTCAAACATAACTCAGAAACTAGCATCATTTCAGTTTCATTTGTATTGATTTTCTATTCTGTTCTCTTGTCAATGTTTCTCATCACCTTGATAAGTCTGTTAACATCCTCCTCCACCTCTTTCATCATGCCAGATGTGCGACCATCTGTTACCTCAGCAGCCATTTTGAAACCATATGACATTGGCTGGAAATCCTCCTGCAATACAACACTGAGTTTGCAGAACGGCAGAGGTAAACTGCTGAAGATTAATACACTATAATGTGTTTGTGCAGCATATTAATACACTATAATGTGTTTGTGCTGCAGGTATATACATCCTAATGTGTTTCTTGTGCAGGTAAATATACATCCTGTGCTGGACTTCTTGTGCAATTGATACACTTTCAGAGTGAGTGAGTGAGTGAGTGAGTGAGTGTGAGTGAGTGAGTGAGTGAGTGAGTGAGTGAGTGAGTGAGTGAGTGAGTGAGTGAGTGAGTGAGTGAGTGAGTGAGTGAGTGAGTGTCACATTGCTTTTAGCAATATTCCAGCAATATCAAAGTGGGGGACACCAGCTATGGGCTTGACATATTGTACCCATGTGGAGAATCGAACCCGGGTCTTCGGTGTGATGAGCAAAAGCTTTAACCACTAGGCTACCCCACCACCCCATACACCTCTAAGAGGCAATGATGTCTTGATATACTGATGGATGAGACATGCTTCTGTGATAACTGAATTTGCCTGGTTAAGCCAATGTAAAAAGCTCCGCTGTGCATCTAACTGATAAACATGAAATTTTGTCATGCAACTTAATATTTAATGAATGTGGTACTCATTTCACAAAGCCAAAAGACAGATTTCTAGTCCAGGTGATATTATAAAAACATATTTTAACCAATGAGATCACAGCACACTCTCCTAGTTGTTTCACAGTGTCATGTCAATACCTTGCTATTTCAAATATCTACAGTTGCAGGATCGGATTTCTAGGTTGCATTTACCTCTTCAAACACATTAGCTCTGTTGATCTTTTCCCTGATATTGTCGACTATCTTGAGACTACAGATACTGAATGCCTTCAGACACCTGTCCTCAATGAGGTAGGGATCATGTAGGTAGAGATTCGTAAACACAGTCTGAGCCAGGGAGTGGCCCTCCAACCATGTCACCTGCAAATACAACATGTCATATGAGTCTCAGAGGTTATAGAAGGTACATACTGATAAAGCTGCAGGGTGCAGAGAAGTTCAACAGGCAAGTGACAGTCAAGCAATGGTGGTCACCAAGAGTACAGTAGTTGATGGGTCACTGTGTTCGGCAGCTAGACGCCTGTGAGTTTCAAGGGTGTTGATCATCTGTGCTACAGAAGCACCTGTAGCTATAGTGGCAAGTGACCATTCAAAACAAGCCTCTGTTCACCATGCAGTGAATGGGTAACCAGTTGGAAGATAGTTATGTGTCTTGGGTTGTATACTCCTCAGAGAACTAAGAATGAAAATTGATTGTACTGATCACACGGTAATAATTGTGTTAGCGGTTTGAGCTTGCCAATCTTTGATGGATTTTAGAGCATTACAATTATCCATTTATTATGAATATTACTATCTGTGTTCATATACTGACACAGTTGGCTTAGCAATGGTCTGCTGGGGTAGTGACACACAATCACATGGAAGCTGAGAGTCTTCCTACAATGATGCGTTACCATGGCTACTAGGCTGGAATATCATTGTGTGAATGAATGTTATTTTATTCCATAATATGCACAGTGACCAACAATCCACGAGAGTAAGACAAAACACTACCAACTATTCCACACATCTGGACCACTGAAACCACACTCCAGTCGATACTCATGATAAGCATGGGATACTGGATACTTTATCTCAACACTGGTAGGAATTCAAGTTACAAAACCCTGGCACAGCATCTCAAGATACATGTGAAGGCTTCAGTAGCAGGTTTTCACCAGCTGGGGATTAGACAATGTTTTGAAAAGATAAGACAGTGCTGGTCTGATCTCAACCATGTGCGTTATTTCAAAATATTGGGACAAAGAATCAACCCATTTCCTACCAGGCATGCTAGTGTTGAATCCATAATTCCGATCTGTTCTGGCATTGTCAGGTCCTGTATCTTTATACTGTTCGACTGAAATATATGCCCAAAGAAATCACTAAAACACACACATACATGACAACCTATCAACATAATCATGATATGAAGCAAAGTTCAGTCAGATATTAATGACACACAGTCAGATCAGAGAACATACAACCTCAGTTCAAGTAGAGTGAAAATCTTTAAACCTGAAAATTAAAAAATGAGACATTCCTGGCATCCACCATCTGGGTCTAGGCAAGGTGCTAGCCAATACTTGGGTATGGGTGCAGTGGGAGGCAACACTCTGCAGCACTGAATATGATGTTATCTGACAAAGACAGTCTTTTTATGAATTCCGTCACAAGACCAGTGACTAGAGTTGCAGACGACTGAGTATACATCAATATGCTACCCAATTCCAATTTAAGTGTCCCTTGCTAGGAAGACTGGGATCTGCTCTGACAAGAAATCACCATAGGTCTTTCATATTGTATATCCATGATGACTGGTACCAGGAGTCACGGCAACATAGCCTACCTCAACTGCCTGTTCAAGACTGAGCACTTTCCTTCGGATCTGGTTGCACATCATGCCAGCATCCATTTTGGGATCCATCATCTCAATGGCAGACATTGCCTCAAACAGACCAAACCTGTTCATTTGAAAAAGTAGGTGAATTACATGATTATTGTGATAACAGTCCTATAAGTACCATGAGGATGAAACATGATTCTATTGTAGATTTAAATAACCATGACAAAATAGCACAAAAATAGGTGCATATTTCAATTCTAATTTTGAAGAGGTAACCATTCTTAATGTTCTTAAAACACCTTCAGTTTGATAGTTTGACAGCTTAAAAGAAAACCATTAATGTCAACTGCAAAAGGCTCACTTATCATAATTCATCATTTTCAAGTTACTCCCACTTTATAATACCAGTAATGAAAGCATGGCAATGACTTACGAGGAGTCATGCAGCAGCTCCCCAAGCTGCAGCTCTGACACAGCACCAACAAAGTCTTGAGTAACATCATTCCAGTTGTAGGTCAATTTCTCGGCTTTCTCCACAGGGCCTTCCATTCTGAAAACAGCAACACAAGGACTGGCTTCAAATGTTGATGTTTAGTGTGGTGGAGGCATACAGTGTGTGTGACACAATGGTATCAAAGGAGTAGTTCAAGACTACAGCTCATGAAATGTGTCACCATCCCAAAACATCAAGTTCCCACTCGACACTAAAACAATTGTATTATCTGATACACAGCTGTAGAATGTTTAATGCTAGAAACCTTTAGAGTACAGCAGGAGACCATTTACCTATCCAAGGTTTAGCTAATGATGTTGAATCGAAAGGAAATTACCATGCAATACAAGAAAATTTGTTGAATACCATGTACTACTAACAAGATGATGAAAAAATTGCAGACATTCTCTTTACAATCTTCAGCTTCTTGTAAAGTGAAAACACTAGCATCAAAGCATATACTGTCTGTGACTGGATCTTATCACTGATTAAAAGGATCGTTCCATCATGATTATATAGTTCTAAGACCACGTCAGTTACAGTACTTTGAATTTGATGCTATTATGTTGCGTTACAAGCCCTTGACTTGTGGTTGCAAATGAATATGAATCATGTTGATCATGATGATGCCACTTAACAGGTTCATATGCAAAGGGGCTTGATAAGTTCACTACCCAGGTACCCGCAGTAGGTCCAAAAGCATTGGCATAAAATGCCCGGTAGTCTATTGTCATGGTCCAACGCATCTCACTGATCTAAAGTTTAGACTAAAGTCAAATATTTCATGAACGATCTGAAACGTCTCAGCATCCCTCTCTAAAATCTTATTCAATCAAATGAGTGAGAAATCTATCCCAAATCCAGATATAGTTAGGGGCATAAACGGCATAAATAATGGTACCTTGGTATTCAGTGATTGACGCAGGTTGTTGGTTCGTAGTGACAACCAGGTTGCGAATCAATTACGCCATGTTTTATTCTGAACTCTTATCACCGCTTTAGCGTTATGGGCTACATGTAGTGAGCTCTTTACAACGCTGGAGAGAGCTTGGCTATCTTTAAAATCCGGACAACACGGGATTCCCAACAACGGGTACACAAACAAAAGAGGAAGAAATACGCTTATTCACAATCACATAGATTTTTTAAAGAATTTTTTTTTAACCCAAAATGCATCATACATTCTAAACACTCAATTCTTTCTACGAACGTGTACATCTGGGTATGAATATCATATCTCTTACATATCAATTTTTTCTGTCTATACACTTTGAATATTCAAAAAGTAAAATTTTATCTAATTATAATTTTTCAGTTGGAGTGATTGATTTCACATAGCCTATTTGCCATTGATTTATAAAATGCACAAGGAATCCCTGGATAGACGTATCGCAGCTGAGTGTGCTACATCGGAGACCATAAAGTAGATTTATAGACTGGACATTGCCATAGCTAACTGTCAGCGCAAGTTACAGTTTAAACATATACATGTATAGATCTACCTGAAAAGTAAATTGACCAAGATATAGTTCACGTTACATCTAAAATTATTTCAAGAATTATTTGAATTGTCAAAATCGGCTCTACGAAAGCAATGTACGAACGTTTCGAATGTCCACCTGACAATGAGTAACATTTCTTCTTGATCGTGTCTTGAACGATCTCAACAAAGACATAACTGTTTATGACGCTGAGTCATCGACGTAGATCTAGATGGACATTAGGGCTGGGACGGATCCAAAGTTTCGACCCGGGTACCCCACCCCCTATTATCCCTACCCTACCCGGATACCCGATATGTTAATTCCTTACATCAAATTTGTAAGAAATGGCAATATATTCTTCAGCTCGGAGGCTGAAATTTCGGGGGTTTCAATATCTTGACCATATGTTTTATATTCAAAACAGCTGACTGTAAATAATGTCTAAATCTTCGACGACAATACAACCTTTTAATCATAAAATAATAACATATTACATGGTTTAATCTATTAGTCACATGATTATAACGGGTCCGTGTACTGAGATGGATACCCGGGTCTAACTCATTACCCATCCGTCCCGGGTATCCGGGTTACCCGTCCCAGCCCTAATGGACATGTCAATCTATATCTTATTTTGTTGTTGTAGTTGGTTTGTTTGTTTCAGGGTTAAGTTAACCATTCAATCGGTTGCCAATTTTGATTGTCTCTAAATTATCACCCGTGAAGATTCGGATTAGAATTGGTCTTCAGTAACCCATGCTTAGAGTCGACTAACGGGATTGGGTGGTCAGGCTCGCTGACTTGGTTGACACATGTCATGATGACATCGTATCCCGATTGCGTAGAGCGATGTTCATGCTGTTGATCACTGGATTGTCTGGTTCAGACTCGATTATTTACAAACCGCAGCCATATACAGCTGGAATATTGCTGAGTGCGGCGTAAAACTAAACTCATTCACACTCTAAAATACCAGCGACCACACCAATGGCACAGTGTGATATCATATTTACTGTGTCATCATAACACGATATCATCGATGGTGTTTGTCTACTGCAAGTACAAGCCAACAGTGCTGCAAATCATTCTTACATGTATGTCCTGTTTTAATTTATAACAATTTTCTTGTGCCACAATTTCGCTGGAAAATATACAAGCACTGTACATAGTCTATTCGACACACGTTTCGCACACGTAGAAAATCAGACACACTGGTATTAATCATCTCCGTTTTCGTTGTCACTCGAGTGCAATTCCAAATGAAAATATTAAGATAGCCAGAAAATAGATTATAACACAACAGTGAAATATTTGTGCTCGTGTGCGGCAGAGGATTAATATTGGCATTTTACTAGCGCTTCCTGGTTTCTCAAAGTCCACGAAAGGTAACTCTGGCGGTACTTCCTGTCTTGGAATCTTCGCTAATGACAGGAATGCAAGGTTACGTCCAGTGAAAATTGGGTATGTGATTGATTCTTGCAGTATTTGAAACCGACATGTAGATCCTCGTTCTACGTTATCCCACTATCCACGTTGCACGGAATCCACGCCCCTATCATGCTGTCGAATGATGGTTTTCCCGTAAAGTCGGAAATGTATGTCGAAGGGAGATAATTTATTCTTGCTAATTTACACAAATTACTGTTGCCCTAGTAGGCTGTGAGATAATTTATCATGCTTCTGATGAGAATATCAGCACATCGCAACAGTTGCATATTCTTCATTATTATGACGTGTACAGTGCAGGAGGGCCGTATATAAGAATCACGTGTTTATTTAATGCGTTTACCAGCTGTATATTGACGGAATCGGGTCAACACGGTCAACAGGTCAAATACAACCATAAAACGGCCATTTGTGTCAAAGTCAAAACAACAATGGCAGGCAAAAAGAAAAAGGATCTAAATAAAAACAAAGAATAAAACGTCGTAATAAACACTCTGAAAGTTATTGCTGTATGTTTTACAGACCCAACTAGGCTTATGTTATCATTCATCCCAATCCCATTGTCATTACATTCTGTCCATAGTCGCCACAAGCGGGCAGTGGTCATCCCCTTTTCAGCTGTGAAAGTTGGAGAATGGCATGTTCCTTTAGACTCATGGGTTTCATTGCAGGAGGGTCACAATTTATTGTATGATTTGGAGGCATGTTTTGGTGTTAAGTATGTATTAATAATAAACTGCAAAAACAGATTGAATTCAGTTGTATTAATGCAGTCATATAATCATTGACTAAGTATACCTGCAAACAAACAGTATGAAATAACTGACAACATTCGGTGCCACCCATACTTGTATCAGCCAATCAGGAAACAGTAGCCTGCTTGTGGGCGTGGTATATTTTTTCAGTTTATGGAAGCATAAATGCAATATACACTTCTTGGTTTGCCAGTCAAATTCCACAGAAAGCCCTGCAATTTATTTATTTAACCATATACATATCTATTTCAGGCACTCGGTGTAAGTCTAGTGGCTATTTGTTCTCGATAATCATTCTTGTTTTTGTATAGTGTTGAACAGCCAACACCAATGACTCAAAATAATTAATATACTTTATTTAAATGTATTGAAAATAAAGTTTGCAGTTCATGCATTAAATCTGAGTGTTTACGAGGAAACTTGAACTAGGAACCAACCAATATTTGGTATCCATGGAGAGGTTATTTCTTCACATATGTAAAACATTAGTTATGTATATCAGACATTCAGTTTCCTAGTTCCCCGAACATGCTAAAGGATATATATGAAACTTTACATTGTGAGCAAATATAATCTGCACAAGTTGCTGGAGCTAATATCATCTGTAGCAGCTGACAGAAGAAAGATGGTTATGTGCGTGCTTTGTTCTAACTTTTTGCTCACTTGTCCCAACTTATGATTGTTTTTATATGAAATATATTAAATTAATACAATATGGAAGGCCACTTTCCAATTACAGCTTACAACAGTTTTCTTTTAGTAATTATCCATAACTGCTTGGGGTGGTGGGGTAGCCTAGTGGTTAAAGCATTCGCTCATCAAGCCGAAGACCTTGGTTTGATTCCCCACATGGGTACAATGTATGAAGCCTATTTCTGGTGTTCCCCACCGTGATATTGCTAAAAACGGCATAAAACTATGCTCCTTCACTCACCATAATTGCTTGTATTTGTTTGCTAGGTACGACTCCACCATGATACCGGCTGCTCCTATCATGTACCTGGGCTGCCCTCGATGTGACGGCCTGCTCGGCACCCAGGACATGTATGCACATCACGCCGCCATCTGTGACGGTAACCGGCAGACCTCATCATGTCAGCTGTTTGCATGCCCCAGAGACATGTTTCTACAACTTCTCAGCAAAGATGTCGAACTCATATCTGACTTCTCCATTTGTGAACTTGACGATGCCATTCTAAAACAAGGGAAACAAATTCTTCATCCTTCAACCTCATCAAGTTCAGTACATAAAACGAACAGTGTTCATATTTTGGGGAGAACTAGATCTCAGGATTACACTGTTGAGGACAAAAATGTTCTGAGTCCAAGTATTGATTCTCCAAATACAAATATAGTTGATGTTCATTTAGATGCTCTGGAGAAAGATGTCGGCAAGAGTCAGTTAACCCTCTCCGAGGCAGAGCAAGCAGCTGAAACTATGTATAACAGTTTTGTTCAAGAAACAGAAAACATCTTTTCAAAAGACGATAATCAGATTGATGCTTGCATGACGGATGAAGACGAAAGTTGCAAGACAGTCCTGGAAACTGAAGACGCAGTGGATAAGTCTCACTGGGATGAATTTGTGAAAGATAATCACACTGTGTATAGGTGTAGACTTTGCAGCCATGAATCCAACTATCTGGGTTTTATGAAGCGTCACATTCGAGCCCACAACAATGGGGAAGTGCTGCAATGTGACCAGTGTGACTTCACCACAATTTGGAAGAGTCAGCTGCAGGTGCATAAGAGTAAACATGCTCAGCCCAGCTTCCTGTGTGAACACTGCCCCAGGAGATTCAAGAACAAGTCAAGTCTCACCAGACACAGTGCCAAGAAACATAATGGTAAAGTCTTTGAAATGCTATTTTTATACTGTAAGAAAATGATTAACATGAGTTATTGGGTGAATGATTTTGTATTGACTTCACTTTGACCAGTATTTCAGTTTTATCATGACATGTCAGCTAGCTGCTGTGGGAGTAGCAGATCCTAGACTTTAACTCTGTGGTGATACCCACAAGCATGGTTATAGAGAATCAAACCAAGTGTCTTCTGATATCAAATATATCAACAACAGTTGATTAAAGTTACAAATATCCAAGGCTTGCCGAGGATATTTTTACATGAATCCAACGAGTCTTGATATATTTGATATCAGAAGACACGAGGGTGAGAATTTATTTATCATCCAAAATCATTCTTCATCAGTTATCAGTAAAAGGATGAATTTATCTGAACACAAAACTGCCATTAGGCTTCTTGAGCAGTGATCTCAGTGAAGTCATAGCATTGTGACGTCATCAACTTGTGACATCATAGCATTGTCAGCTGTCTCCTTAGTGAAGTCATAGCATTGTGACGTCATCAACTTGTGACATCATAGCATTGTCAGCTGTCTCCTTAGTGGAGTCATAGCATTGTGAGGTCATTAACTGATGATGTAATAGCATTGACAGTTCAGTTGTTGCGATATCTACAATGTAGATATTGCTTGTAGATATCGCTTGATCTGACACATGTCTACTGTTTGAGCCAGTTTGGATGATAAATGGCTTTGACAAACCTAGGAACATAATCATGAAAAGTCGGGGATTCAAACTTACAACGGTAGGTTTCTGTCACGCCTGAGGGATACAGATGGATATAATAATAATAATACTAATACAGTAGATTTGTTATGCGACAAAACTCCAGGCACTTGGTGTCTGCTCATGGCGCTACACAAAATTAAAAAACACTGCAGTAGAGGTGCTATATTTTCACTGGTATATGGTGAATTGGCTCCCCTAATGAATGTCAGGACAGATCTAAAACTTGCATTATACTCATGTGAAGTGGACACCATAATGTAACTGACATGTTAACTGTAGCATTAAACCAAACTTACTCCATCAAGCGATAAATTTAAAAAGTCTTCTTGAAAACTATTGGATATCAACATTTGTAACAGAACATGTACCTGTCTACAGCAACCGTACTGAATATGTTTATTAATTAACCACTGTTCATGCAACAAGACACAGTGACATCAAACCCTCTGTTTGGCCAGTATTTGGGTCAGTTTCTTGTTTAAAATGTATGTGAAATTTGTTCTGTTTGCCCTATTTTCATCATGTTAATCTGTTTGAGCTGTCTCAATGAACCTGGTTAGGGGATGTTCCACACAATCAATTGTCAGTGTTGAAAATGTGAAAGAGTTATTTTAAAAGTGTATATGATGTAGGAATTACTGGCTGCTTGGTGTGTTTGTTGTTGAACACCTCTTGGAGCAATATTTGAGCTGTTTTACATAGTCTGTAAATAATCAAGTCTGGACTGGACAATCCAGTGATTGATATCGTGAGAGATGACATGATACAATGACATGCATTGTCCATGTCACCAAACATTTTCTATTTGTAGTCAAAATGCAGGAAAACAGTATAAATGTTTATCACTGTTACAATTCACAATTCCAGGCAAGAGCAACTTCTTGTGCACATACAGCCAGGACTGTGGATTTGTGGGAGTCAACAGTGCAAATCTCAGAGACCACATGAGGAAACACACAGGTAGAGTTACTTCCCCTACCACTAACTTGCTGGTATCCTGCTGCTCAGTTCATATGGTTCAGTGTTTGTCCTGTGGGACACTGTTAACATGAACATACAGTTGCAGTTGGATGTCATGGTTAGGTTAGCCCCTGTCCCACCAACCAGCACCACAGCATTCCCCACTTTAGCTTATAAGTCTTCACAAAACCCTACCCCAAAAGTCTGGCCCAGCACCATGCCCCACGAATCAGCTGGTCCTCATTGGTATCAAGGAAATGACTATCCCACATATTATTAGTTGCAATGAAAATGCAAGCTCTGTGAACAGGACAAACGTTTTGTCACATTGGGAATCTCAAGGAATCACTGTCAACAGAATATTGGATGAAAATATCAAAATGACAATAGAGAATCAAAGTTTGAATGCAAAATCATAAATAATAAATTAATATGGAGTCTTCTGGTTTGCTTTCAGGAGAATTGCTGTTTTGTGACTATGGTCAGTGCAAGTTCATGACCAAGTTTGAGAAGGCTCTGAGCCTTCATAAAGCTAAACACCAGGGAATAACAAGGTACGTGTGTGAGATTTGTGGCTACAAGACCATAGAGACAGGCAGCTTCAAACGCCATTGTCTGATCCACAACGGAAAGAAACTGTTTAAGTGTCCTGATTGCTCATACAAGGGAACATCAAGATACGTTGTTGTGAAGCACATCTACGGTAAACATATTGACCACAAGAGATACGCTTGTAATCGCTGTGACTTCAAGACAGCATACTACAGTGGACTGTCCATGCATCTCATGGCACATGAAGGCATCAAACCATATAAATGCAGCCTATGTCCTTACAGAAGCAATTTGTCCAACAAAGTCAAAAGACACTGTTCCCAAAAGCATGTTCAAAATGTTGCCAAAGTTATCAAAGTTGAGAACTGCCTCAAATTTGATGTAAAAGATTATCTCAATCCAGATGTTCATAAGATTGATGTGAAAGTGATCCGCCTTAACGGGGACGGCGAAGAAGAACAAGAGGAAGAAGTAGAGGATCTGGCTGGAGAGGTTGCAGCAGCACCAGTAGCTCTTAATGCAGACATTGTGGAGGATGAAGGGCTTCTATGTGAATCTAGGATCTCATCTCTACCACAAGGAAGCCCTGACGACCTTGAGGACATGTCCATCATGGGCGGAGGGTTCAGTCTGTGCAGTGACCCAAACTTTCCTCTAGATACTGTTCCCCAGAGCTTCCATTCAGAGGACTCTAACAGTGTTTTTGGAACCAGGAATGTGCGGTTGGATTCTGCTGCAGGGCCTGTACTTGACCTGAACAAGTTTCATGTTGATAAGGGCAAGATCCCTTATCTGGACTCTCCAGAAGCCAGCCTTCACATGACTGAAGGTGCCGAGCAGATTTTATCGGATATATCTGAGAACTTTACGAATGTGAAGACCAATCCTTTCAGAAGTGTTGGGTTGGGGTTACGATCTGAAAGTGTCGACAATCTATGTCAGATAAAATCTCCAATGTCAAAGTCTACTGAGTCCATTGATACCCTTGATCTTGCATTACAAATAGACAATAAGATCATGCAATCACAGGAAGTTCCTGTAAGCTTTGAAACCAAGACCCATCTTCCTGTGATGTCAGCTTCCTCTCCCCTGTTCCAAGTGATACAGCTTCCATCCACCTTACCAATAAACCAAGCCTCCAGCTGTATAGCTGAACCTGCCAAACCCCTCCGAAGTTTGCTGTCTCCAGATGTTATGAAATCCCTGTCTGGAACCTCATCTGATGTCAGTGCCCCAGCTGATGCTAGTCAACAGCAAAACCAAATATCCATTGTGTTGAAAGTACCAGCTGGTGGTGGTCAAGCATCTGGAAAAACTGCTATCCTCTCCCTTCCACAAACTGATGCCAACCTGAAATAAGACTTTTAATGCTTGGTTTACAATATTTTTGTTCCATTGTCAAAATAAAGTGAAACTATGTTGCATGTAGAGTCAGTAGGTTGAGAATTAATTCATTAACTTTTTCTGTATTTCATTTTTATGAAATAAGATGTTATAGAATTGATGGCATTTACATGAGAAGCAACATGGTAATGAATCCCAGTGAAGCTATGGTTATTAAATGCAGAAATCATTGAGCATTTATCTCTTGTCTCAGACAGGGAAACAGTTTGTTATTCTATTCCCCTTACATGTCATTGTCAGACCTAGAGGTTAAAGAAAACGTGGACTTTTTAATAATCCGCATTCCAGATTTTAAGTGTTGTTTGATCACCCTAACAAGAAATCTATAATTAACTCACCCCTAGCATGAAATTAACAAAAATAACTTTCCCCTAAAAATAAATGTAATAACTCACCCTTAACCGAAGTATCCCCGCGTGTTGTTAGCTTGTTGTTATTTGTTTATTAGAATGAATTGTGATACTGTTATTACCCATTGGCTTATTCTACCTCACTGTGCAGCAAATGCACACAATGGTTGTCATGGTGTTGGCCTTTACATATGGCCACCCAACAAATGATTCTTAAATATGCGTATTGTATATGTATGGAATGAATCATGTTATTGTGCATTGGGTATGTTACAACAAGGTGATTTACACACCTACCCCTGCACTGTGTTGATGGCTGTTAACATCTACTTGACCCTTGATGTTGTTATTTTGTTGATAACTCAAACATATATCTTGGAATGAATCCTGTTGCTCCTTCATTATTGTTTCTGTTATTTTTTGCTCACCTAACTGAATGTCAGATGGGCTTAAATCATGTGTTGACCGTCAGTGGTTTACGTTTTCAGAATCTACTTTGAAAGTACAAAACCTATGGAGCTGGTGCTGTCTCAATTATCCCTAAGATGCTCTAAAAAATGGGTTCTAGTACATTGAAAATGTTATTTTTGGCCCATTTTTTATGAATCATTATGACATTTGATATGCAGCAAGTATGATGTTTTTGGAATGACATATATGATATTTGGCATGTTATGATGTTTAAAGCCATCTTTGCCTTTACATGTCCGCCGTTTTAGTGGTGTAACTGAAATTTTCACATCTTCACTGAAACTACAATGCCTGTAAAACTGAAACTTATGAATATTCCCAGCTATGGAGTCAGAAACATTCCTCAAAGGATTATATTCTCATTCAAACTTGGTCACCATGGGAATATAGTTAGAAAAATGTTAATAGATGGTTGTCAGAATTTTTTCTTTAGTTGGACAGTGTTGAAATTTGTTATGGAAGTATTGGGTATATGGGCCTATCAGGAATTTGCCATTTATGCAATATTATGAGTGAGTGAATTTAGTTTTATGCTGCACTCAGCAATATTCCAGCTATATGTCGGTGGTCTGTAAATAATCGAAGTCTGGACCAGACAATCCAGTGATCAACAGCATGAGCATCGATCTATGCAATTGGGAACCTGCAATATTATGAATTTTGTGGTCAGTTGAACCTTTATAGCTGGATGCTGTCACTGACCTTTAACATTAAAGAAAAAGCAAAACTGGAAAACCATATCTCAATCCCACCACACACTATTCAGTCAAGGTGATATGTCATTGACCTTGACCTGGTCAACCAGTAACTGATAGCATAAGCAGTAATTCAGGACATCACTGTACATGAAGTGAGTGAGTTTAGTTTTATGCCGCATTCAGCAGTTATTCAGGACATCACTGTACATGAAGTGAGTGAGTGTAGTTTTATTTTTATGCTGCATTCAGCAGTAATTCACGACATCACTGTACATGAAGTGAGTGAGTTTAGTTTTATGCCGCATTCAGCAGTAATTCAGGACATCACTGTACAGGAAGTGAGTGAGTTTAGTTTTATCCCGCATTCAGCAGTAATTCAGGACATCACTGTACATGAAGTGAGTGAGTTTAGTTTTACGCCGCATTCAGCAATAATCCAGCTATGTGGCGGCTACGCAATTGGGATATGATGACATGTGTCAACCAAGTCAGCGAGCCTGACCAACCGTCACTGTACATTACTCGGTGTATTCCCAAACTGCCTACAGTTCCAAACTGCCATGATCCAGTGATTCAAAATCTTTAATACTCTTTACCTATTTCATATTTTTTTAATACCTTTTAAAGTGTTCTACCCTGTCGCCGAAATACCTTAGTTGTGCGGGCAACATTAAATAAAGCAAATAAATACAACAACCTTACTCCAAACGACACACCCCTTCTTCATTGATAATTGGGCTGTTCCATTATTCTACAGGGCAAAAAATCCTTTCCCACGCTGCCTACAATATTTTTTGGGGCAGTTTGGGATGTAGGCAGTTTGGAACTGTAGGCAGTATGGGACCTAACCCATTACTCAGGAATACCATTTTCACCCACGGTATGTTTATGGTTGTGTGAGGGACGTTAGCTGTTAATGTAGCCCATGTAGTCAGTCATAGATGAAACGTGACACCTTGGAAAGAAATTTAGAACCAAACACATAACGTAGAACAAATTGACAAATGGAAGATGAATAGAGTTTATTTTTCCTGTGTTAATTCACGCAATTTATAATAAAGAAAATGACTACACTTTCATGTGTGTCATACTAATTTTACGATTAGGTTAAGGGTTGAATTATTAAATTCGCGGAATTAAAATCCATAAAAAAATTGTTTATCAGAGAGAAATTAATACATTTTCTGATCCTCCTTGAACAGTTCAAATGCATCTGGTCACTGCCTACAACCTGCACCCAGCGTTGATCTGTGTATCTACTATGGGAATGGATGTATTTAATTAGCAGCTGCAAAGAAAACGTACAGATTACTTCAGTACTGTTATGCGTGTAATTCATGTCAACACGCCAAGGATACAAGGATACAAGGGTTATCAGTTACGTTTGTCAATAGCAGGATAAAAGGAATTGTCGAGGGATGTACGCGTTCTTCTGGCTGAAACACTGGCTGCTCTAAATTCTTCACATCAAACTATCACTTCAAGATTACTTAAGCGACCATCCATCCTCCACGTTTATCAATACAACATGGAGACTCACCAATCCCACACCTTAATTCTTTAAGAAATATTGATATTATTATCTTCAAAACATCCCTTCTTGATTGCCACAACGTTTCTAAGAACAGTTATGGCTTTGTTGCCATGGACTGCTGTGTATTGGTTTATCAGTGGGTTACCATTATGGTTTAGTCTCTATTCGCCTACATCTCAATTCGCCTACATATCAATTCGCCTACAGAAACAATGTAGGCGAATTGGGATTAGAGAATGCACCCCTACTCTTATAATGAACCTGACTCACTGAGTCTTGATCGACTGTTGTTATAAGGATATGAAGTTGAGTAAACAGGATTAGTGCATCCACTGAGAAGTTAAAACAGGGTTAAAATAAAATGACAGGGATTAATGCATGCGATGATGAGATGTAGTTAATTTCTCACTGTGAAATACTAGGCTTTAAAACTTAACCCTTTAAAATGGAGCGTTCGCCAAGCACTGACAGGCACAATGGCTAACCTGCAGAGGGCAGAGTTCATCTTGTCTCAGAGAGGAAGAAGACAGGTAGGCTACTACATGATGGCCAGCAAGTATCGACTGAATGTTGTGAGACAGGTCGCCACACACTGGAAGTGCGTCATAAATAAATGTTAAGGTAAATGCAGTACCATTGGCGACCACGTATCTTCGGTCACAGAGCACAAGCACCCTCCTCTGGTGAATGAAGAAGAAACCAGAAAATACAGAACTCAGAACCAACAATCATTTGGAGGGTTTTCACAACGGTTTCAAGAAACTCAACAGAAAGCATCACCCGAACATATATGAATTCGTCATTGCTATAAAGAAATTGGAAACAGCGAACAGACTGGCACGCAGACAGATGATCATGGATCTACCGAAACCTGGAGAGTCGCTTGGACAGACTTAGAGAGCAACTTGCTTCTGGGAGAAGATCACCCTTTCAATTCCTCGACGCAGCTGGTCACTTTATCAAGTTGAAGTGAGAATGGACAATGTCACGATTGTGATCGCAAAATGACAAATAACAGAATAAATAAGTAACAGACAAATAACAGAAATAAATTCTTTAAAAAACCTTTCTTTTTGTCCTTCAACTACTTCAACTAGAAGATGATGTGATGATATGATGTGATGAATAAATTATCATTTCACTGTGATCAGAAAATGACAAGTAACAGAAATAAATAAATTCCTTTTGTACTTCAACAACTTCAACTAGAAGAGTCCACTTTTAGATCATAGGGGTGCCACTAGTTCACCATTGCGTAATCAACAGTCAAAAGACCATGACATGTTGTTTTAAGAATGTAGGCGAATTGGGATGTAGGTGAAATGAGAACATACCGCTATGGGAAGCCTATGTCCCTCATTATGCAATATTACTATAATTACCCTATATTTGTTGTAAGAGCCAACTATTATTACCCTATATTTGTTGTAAGAGCCAACTATTATTACCCTATATTTGTTGTAAGAGTCGACTATTATACCTCCATTGTTGTTGTAAGAGCCGCCTATTATTACCCCTTGATTGCTGTAAGAGCCGACTATTATTCCCCCGCGATTGTTGTTAGAGTCGACTTATTATTCACCCATAATTGTTGTCGACATTTATTACCCTATGCTTTTTTGTTTTAAGAGCCGACTATTATTCCGCCAAGTTTTGCTGTAAGAGCCGACTATTATTACCCCATGTTTTTTGTAAGAGCCAGCTATTGGGTTGAAATGGTAATAATGTGTGACCTGATCGAGAGAGCCCCGTTTGACTACATTGTTGGGAATTTGAAACAGCAAACACCTTATTTGGCACGCGGAGTTCTTAATGTCTTGGCACAAGTTCAAGAAAACATACCGAAAAAGAAAAAAGTAAACATACCGTAAATTCTCCTATAAAACGAAGCAGAGACGAACATGAAAAACATCCACTGAACACGCTTCCCAATCTCCTTGGGTGAGTGAGTGAGTTTAGTTTTACGCCGCACTCAGCAATATTCCAGCAATATGACAAAGTGATCACACCAATTCAAGTCGAAGGGGTCACATACAGCAACCCTGATGATGTGCTTGAAAAATGGGCTTATCACTTTGAAACTGTCTTTCAGTCATCAGATAAGCCTCATTTTGATGAATGTTTTAAACGCAACATCGAAAGTCAGGTTTCTGAGATAAGGAAACTGTGCAACGCGGACACATCTGATCCCTGTCATATCACACTTAATGAAGTTGAGGCAGTGTGCAAGAAGCTAAAAAATGGAAAATCAGGTGGAATTGATGGATTAGTATATGAGCATCTGAAGTTTGGAGGAGAACATTAATGCATCACCTGAGCTGTCTATATAACCTTGTCATTCAAACTGGTTTCATTCCACGAGCCTGGAAGCGTAGTGTTATCCTGCCACTGCATAAAGGAGGCGGCAAATCAAAGAAAGACCCAAACTGTTATCGCGGTATTTCATTAAGCCCCGTAATAAAGAAAGTCTTTGAAATGGCCCTACTGCCTCACTTAAACGCTCTGCGCCAGGATAACAATTTCCTAACAAACAGCAGATGGCTTACCAGGAAAGTCTCTGTTCAACTCACGCTTCGTTCAACCTGCAGGAGACAGTTCAGCACTACCAAGAGCGAGGCAGCGACGTTCATGTGCTATTTCTTGACAGCTGTAAAGCATTCGACAGTGTGTGGCATGATGGTTTGCGGAAGAAGTTG